AAGTTTTGCTAACACATAACCTCTATCCCCTTTGCTATAGTTCTACCCTTAGTAGACAATGTGCAGGTCAACAAGGAGGGGTAATTATTCCCATCCTTCATTTTAGTCGTGTACTAGAAGACAATTGTCTTGTCTTTGTCACTTGCTTTTTGGTTTGTTGTTTTTTTTTCCTGTTTTTTGGCAACTCCTTTTCAGTGTTTCCTTATGGTTTTGCACTTGTGCAGTTTCATGTTCCATTTTTAAACATATTTCTAGGTCTGCTGTCCATATCCCTAACTTCTTCTACTGCACATCCATACATACATGCATGTGTCTACATGCATATGCAAACACAGACGTACACAGTTATGCCACTGCTTTTTGCAAAACCCCTGAGTTTGTTCCTATTCTGCAGTTTTTCAAGGTTCTACAGATATCTGTATACCATCTAGATGCAAGTTTATGTTCATGTCTGTAGAGGAAGGAGGGTAAACTCCTTTCAGGCTTTTTTCCCTTCCAGACTCACTTAATTTTTATTTTGTCTTTTCTTGGAGCAGTATTACTGACTGGCAGAACAGATAAAAAGCTAGGTCTGTGTTCTAATAGCCTCAGGATTTCTTATCAGTTTCCCAAATATACCCAGAATAAGTATTTTCCTTCCTCCTGTACACTGCTTGCCAGTAAGTGCCCTGGCAAAACACCTAGCAGTTGGAGTGGGAAAGGAAATAGCTGTGCAGATGTCAAAGACAAAGAGTAACATTTTCTTCAGGAAACAGATGGCTTGAGTTTATATTTATAGCTGTCCATTTCTGTTAGACAAAAGCAGTCCATGTTACAAAATCTGGAGTATGTGGAAAAGTAGAGATTAAATGTGTGCAAGAAGGATGGATTTCTCCTGGCTGAAGTCTGTAATACCTGGGTCCAAGTTACATATTGACTGGTCAATATAACAAGGCAAAGATGGGTACAAATAGTGAGCAGTATGTCTGGTGTATGCAAGAAGGTGTTATGGCAGTGATGTAGTGCAGAGTCAGAGCACGAACTGCAGTGCGTGGATTGGGCTTTTTCACTTCAACAACATATACTTAACATAGTTCTGTGACTGACAGACGTTCTGGTTACAGGTAATGCACTGTACCCATTTCTCATGCACAATTCTGTACTTACTTGCAACCCAAAAATGCATTTAAGAACAGAGAATCAAGGTTATACAAAAGCTAACTGAGCAACAGGCTATATTTGAGTACAGTTAATGTATATTTAGAAAGACATTTCTGAACTTACTTACAATAGGAAATGAAATATAATTTGAGAAATTATTCCTGTCATATCATTGAGAAATCATTTCACAACAGACAATTAAGCCTTGCAGTTGGATGCTGCAAATGCAGGGACTATATTTTTCACAGACCTTTCTGTCAAATTTTCATCAAGTAGGTTTTTAAAAAGATAAGAAATATTCCAAAGGTACTGGGAGCTGAATCTTAGTTGACATGCAAACAAAAGTTGTCTCACTATGACATCCATTCACTAATCCGTTAATTCATAGCTAGCATATGATGGACTGACATTTTTACTTTACTTTTGACTGTGTTGCATGGCCATATTCTGACACTGCTGTAATGGTAAGTGATGAAACATGCAACAAATCAGCTCTCAGAGAACCTTCTGAGACAGTTACCATTTTGTTATAAATAAGCAGATGTTGGAATATATTTTTTTCTACTGCTATGCTGTCAATTGTATTCTGCTGTGCCATTGATCTTATGTCAGCTTGATGTTATGAAAAGGTTTCTGAATGGCAGTTGCAGTGAAATTAATATTAAACCTAAACTGTTTGTTTAACTTGTCTCCTGCATTTCCTTCACACACCAACTATGCTGACTACAGTTATATTAATCATTAGTAACCTAATAAAACAATGTATTTGCCCTATAATATGGGGACTGAGAGGCAAATAGATAAAATATTACTAAAATGCTGCTCTACTAATGCAGAACAAAGTGTAGCCCACCATCCTGTTGATGAAATAAAATCCCCTGCTTGCAGTTTCAACACTGCATGTATCCATAGACTGCCCATCTCAAAATACTTGAGACAAACACGTGAATCAGTCAACCATAAAAAAACAAAGCTCCTAGCAAATGATTTTTCATTCTTCAAAAGAGAAGAGACAGAAATTATATAAAACTGGTAACTCACTACTGCTCTCCAACACCATATTTATTACCTTTGGTACAGAACTATCAGACATAACTATCAGAGAGCTCTTAGTCTGACATCTTTGGGGGTGACGGAACATAAAAAGCCCTTCTTTGTATTTGTGGGCAGTTTTATTAGGACACACAATGGTTCCCTAGCAAATGACTTCACTATCTCCTTTTGATTAGAAATTTCTGAGTGGACAGGAGAGGACCTTTTCTGCCAAGGGCTGTAATCAAAAGGGGGTTGTGCTCCTGTTAAAATCTTTGATATTTTCTGAAGATGTTCTCTGCAAAATCCCAGGTCAGCTCTTCTGCCTCTGCAAAATGCTTTCCTTTGCTGACAGAAGCCTAACTTAGACTCATGCCAGGAGGGATCTGCCTGGAGGATTATAAACCAAACAGGAGTTATGGCACCTGGACTCTATAGTGACTAAGGATACAAATATGCAGAGCACAAGCTTCAGCCAGCTGAAGAACATAGAATCAGCATTTCTCTAATACAAATAACATCAGACATGTGGACTTTGGGGCCCTAAGTAGGAAAGAAACTACAAATTAGGAACAATGAAATCAGCAGTTTATGCAACATGAGTTCACCTTCTCCAGAGATAAAACCCTCCGGACACTACTTTTTATGCTTATATCAAGTTGATCTGTTTTGCACTAGCTAGCCTTAAAACTGCTTTCTACCCCTGTGTGCTCACAAACCATGGAGAGCCATATGAAGAGCATGGGTAGCTCTCACTTGAAACACCCAGCCCCTCCCCAGATGTATTCAGTTATACAATTACCTGGGACAGGAGTCTTCAATACATCACTTACCTATCAGGTGTCTTTGACCACAGACTCTGAAGATCTTCTATTATCCCAACGCTATCTCATTTAGTAATCTCTATTGCCATAGGATACTTGCATAATTTGATTCACCATGTGCCGTATGAAAATGTACTCCAGAAACAAATACCCTGCAAAGAGCATGTGATTTAAATCCTTGGTCTCCATAATAGGAAATTTCTTCCTTCTGGGGCCTGACAATGCCTACACCTTGTTTCAAATCCTTCCACAGAAGTCCAGTTTTATCCCCTGTTTCAGTCAGATTCTACAGATATCTAGTCTAGCAGACTTTACATATCTCCAGCCAGTGAACATCACTCAGCAGGATTGATGCTTCTGCCATTCATACAACTGTAGTATGAATGTCTAGTCTCTTCATCTTTCAAAAATGCTACCTGCCAATTTCTTTTAAGCCCATCTACCAGACACAGGATCTCTCCTTATGCTCTCTTTCAGCACTCTGGCAATTGCAGCATATATGTCTCATCTCACTTTGAATTCAGATTTTTTATATACACACAGATGACAGGAGGCCCATTAGAGGTACTGCTGTTCCTGGCTGACGTATATTTTTGGAGGTTTGGTTGTTTCTTTAAACAACACAGTTCAGGTCAGCTAGAGTGCTAGGTTTATCACTTTAGTTCAAAAATCCAAGTGTTGCCAAGTGACAGATAAGAATTGTGGAAAGAAAATCAGAATTTTATTTCTGTAAGTGCAGGCCTTTGTTGTTTCTATTTGTGGAGGTTTTCGCTGTTGCCTCCATTGGCCCTTTTTTATCCAGTAGTACTTTGTGCTTATCCAAAGCCTATATGCAGGCTGCTTGGGGCATTCAGTCATCTTGGTCCATGGCAGCTGTATGACCAAATGTGACATCACTCGGAAGAGTGACCCAAAGAAAGACACTTATCTCACTTAGTTGAAGGCGTCCAAGTACCATGTAACTCTTCCAAGAAATCTATTACCTCAACTTCCCCTGTAGTAAATAAGAAGGGACTTGTACTCCTGTAAATGAGATATCTATAATACGTATGATGAATCATACTCAGGAAGTCCCTCTCTCTTATCACTCACCAGAAAGGAAGTCCAATGGTCAATATGAACACAGCAAAAACAGGCAAGAGAAACTGCACAGAAACAACTCCTTTGTACTTAATCAAAATCTTCTTGAGTGTCCATATTATTTACTTACTAGTAGTTCTACAATTGCGGGAATTTAATTTCCATAATCTTCTCATTTTTTGACTTCCCTGGTCACTGCAGGGAAGTTGAAACTAGACAATCTTTAAGGGTCCCTTCCAACCCAAACCAGTCTACAATTCTATGATAGTCTTTGTGATAAAAAATTTCTTTGGCAAACTGCCTGTGACTTCCCTATGTTCCATTAGAGCAGTCAGTAAAATAAATGCTTATGTATTTGGATCTTTCTCATCAAACCATAGCAGTCTTCAAATGGAAAGTGATCAATATAATCAAAGCAAATGTAAACACACATATCTGAAATAAATAAATGTGTCAAGTAAAGATTGTGTAGTAGTCTGCTTTTGGATGCTGTGCTGTATGACACATTTGCAGTATGTACTCACAGTTTACCAGAAATAAAGTGAGTTCAGTAAGAGACTATATTTTATCTATCTGAAAGGTTAAAAGAACATTTAGTAAAAGGATCATGACATTTTTGACAGAATATGGACTAGGTCTTAGCAGATTGCTAAGCACATTGCTAGTGTTTGGTAAGTAATGATAAATGGTAATTTAAAATTGCATTTCTATTTTTTTTTAATTTTTATTATTTATTTTTACACATTTTAAAGCTGAAAAGGGACCACTAAACAGTAAAGCAATTCTTGGCTCAGCTGATTGACTGAACTGAAATCGTGGTACTGGACACTGTCTCAGTACCAAATGAACACCAGAAAGGCCAATAAGGCACTTAAGGCTCAAAGCTGAAACACTGAAGTATAAAAAGTATCTGCACTCAGCATGTCCTATTAACATCATCTTTATTTCCTTTTTACAAAAAACAGAAATAACAACAGACAAAACATACTCAAAAAAATCAATGCTTTTGCCTTGGTCTCACTGAGGAGTTGAGCAGGCAGAGTCCTGGCTGAAACTTTGACAGTATATGCCATTGACAAAGGGGAATAAAGATATATGACAATATATCCATGCAAGACACAAAGTACAAAACGTGTTCTGTGGCCCAACAAACATTTTGCAGGTTGCCTGTGTCATAACAATTTTCAAATTGTTACTTTTGCTCACTCTTGCCTTTACACAGCACAGCTTACAAACAAGTTACATATACACATATATCATAAAATGTTTTGTATATGGTCTAACTGCTACAAATTAAGGCATCCTAACAGCTGCTGTTTTGCTGGTGAGGAACATGTCTCATTAATTTTTCAAAAAGAATATATTTCAAACAAAGTGAGACAAGTAAAGATATGGTTTAGAGGAAGAATTCCTGCAGCTCTGGCTCTTCAGTACTCTTTTGACTGTTGGGTTTCTGGCTTTTCCCATTGATGTCATCATGCCTGGAGAAAGAAAGAATAAAATTACTCACTAACAACATAGAGGGGTTTGCCTTGTGTTTGTATAGCCTGTTCTACTTCATTTGCAAGTACTGAACTCTAATCAATCTTCCTCTCTCTGTATATTTCTTTCAACATGTACTATACAAAATACTTCTTAATACTATGGATTCTTTCTTGTAGCTCCTACTCTAAAATCAAAATGGTAAAGCAGCAGGACAATGAAGACCTTTTTAAGTCATGGCATTAACTGGTACACTGTCATAATATTCTGGTAATAACTGAAAGAATGTCCCAAAATTCCTTTTCTTTTAGCAAAAAGTAACATAGTGATAAAAAGGTCCACTACAATAAACATGAGACATATCCTGTTTGCTTCTGACTCTACCTGTAAGGGAATCATCAAGTCTCCATTAGAAGTCATCATAAAGAAACAAACATTTTCAGAAGTTGATTCATTGGACTTACTTTAAGTGTCTACTTAAGTAGAACATGGTGGCAAAAGCCAGAGGAAAAATGGCAAGTAGCAATTCTATTTCTGATACGGGCCCTATATCTCTTTTAACACTGTGATTTAGGTAAAATCTCCATTAAAATCATTAATATTATTAGTTACATAGATAAGAATTATTTCTCTACAGTGCATCTTCATCTCCACACTAAGTAAATTTAAATTAAATAATCTTTAAATCCATCTATTGTGTGCAAAACTGAAATGATAGTTTGCCAATTAAAGTCGAAAAATGAAACACTAAACATTTGTAACATTTTTTTCCTCACTTCCTTTCATATGTCCTTATTCTTAATCCCCAGTATGCTTCCCCTACTCTTCAATTAACCTTCCAGCTGAATGATTTTTGATTAAGCATTCAGACCACAGAAACTTCCAAACAGGTTGAAAGCCTTTTAGGCTTATTTTCAGTTATTACTGCTGAACAGTAGAACTCCTTTGTTGCTGCAAAGGACAGATACCAGCAGGAGATTAAATACCCACAGCGAAAGGTAAGAGTATGTGTATAAAATGTTTGCCTTCAGCTGGCATACTTGTGAGCCTAATTCTTACAAAGCAGAATAGCTTTATTCCAGGCTATAATCACCACAAAGAACCAAAAAGCTCCAAGAGACTGATACTTAGGATGCTCAGATAACCTCATGGCTATTTCAGGTTTTAACAGAAGCTGTCCTTTCCAGGGACCACAGCTCTGGGTCTTAATAAGAGGGCACAAGGGATCATTTTATTTTAAAATCCCCCTAATTCATCTAAATTACCATTGCCACATACCCAAAGCAAGAGGAAAAGATAGAATTGAACTAGGGGAGATAGAATTTGTAGGACTGGGTTTGAAGAGGTAAAAGAGTAGCAATTAACTTTTTGGCATTTAACATGTATTGCTATTATCAAGTATGTTTAGTGTTAACCATGGATCTTTTTTAAGGGGTGCTTTCTAAGTCTAAGATAATTTGCATCAATTTACTACTTCATTAGCTTAGACTTGTAGTGTTGAAAGACCCTTTGGAGGAGTCCTCCATGTAGGGGCTCATTAGGCACTCTGAAGACACTATTTTTCAGGTCTACAGTCACACTGTGACCTCAGGATCATTTTTAGCTAATGCAGGTGACTGTAGGTCTGTAGTGTTGAACACACATGCCTTTTACAACAGTGCCTGCTGAGCTGAAGCAACCATATTACTAACATTACTAGCTAGTAACCAAATTTCTAGTATCTTCTGGCGTCTGTGTTACCACAGAAATACTAAAATATCCCCCCATACAACAGGCACTTGATGCATGATCATAACAGCTCACAACAACTGTAAACTGTCTGGAACAAGGCCTAAATTACTCCAATATTGATTTTATACTTTACTAGTTCAAATAGCAACTATTTTATTAGTTATCCAGATAAGTATCCTTTTTTCTAGACTATATATCTGAAGTTGTAATTTATCCAGCACTATTCCTGGCAGTGGAATACCTGTTAGGTGAGATCCACACACTTTTATTTTAGAAGTATGCGCAGTTTACCATTTGACAGAAATCTGATGGTAGATTCTGCTGATTGCCCCTGATGTCCGAAACAATTTTTGCTGTTTATAGCTGCAGCTAAGGGGTTTGTATTGATATGTTGAGTTAGTGCTTACCTTAATGTACTGTAGATTTCAGATGATCTAAAGTGTGAGAAGGAACTGTTCACTGGCAAACATACAAGATGGAAAAAACTACAAGCATTTGCTCAGAGCTGTAACATGCAAGAAAGTAGCCAATCCTTCCAAAAGGGGAATAAAAATCTCAACCCATCCTACATATCCAAAATTTACTCTAGGGACTTGAGAAAAATAGGGTGTATAAAGTTTTAAAAAGACACTAAAAAACGCAGCACAATCCCTTACTAATAAGCTGTGACCAATCTGAAAAAGTAATCTATACAGCCTTGAAGTACTTTGGTATTTTAAATGAAAAAATAAAACAAATGAAATAAACAGAAGCTGAAAAAAAGAAGCTGGAAACTGGTGGACAGGAATGTCATCTGACTCAAGGTAGATTTTTGTATAATGACTTTGGATTTCAGAAGATGCTAATAAAATTTGCTGTATCTACAGTCTACAGTCACTGTGGGCTAGTGACCGTGTCCAGAAATATAACCCTCCCATATAACAATCTATAAAGGTTTTAAACACCAAAGACCATCCTATTTTCAGAAAGGTTCTTTTTCAAAACAGTTCTGAAATGGTATTTACACAGTCTCTACAGACCTTACAGGGAAAATTCACATAGTGTCAAGGGGCTTGTAGGGCATATGATGGTGATGTTCTTCTGTTATTTAAATTTCACAGGCTGCAGGGCAGCATGCAGTGGACTAATAACAGGAACCTATTTTGTTGTTCAAAAAGCACAACACATGATAAAAGGCATAACAAAAGCTGGCTAAGAAGCTCCGAGAGCCCTCAGGTCTGATTTCTGAAAACCACAATACACCTTCCTTCTTATGTGATTTTTGGAAATCTCATGCCAACAGTCTCTGGCACAGTTTCTCTTTCTTCTCCTAATCTGTGGGTACTTCTCTCCTAATCTGTGAGTACAACAACAGACTCTTTCAACTGTGCCGCTAGTGCACTCTGCTTCTTGTTTCCTATTCTCTGGTTTTCCACATGCCCACCATCACAGGGACAGCTTCAGGACATCATGCTTGGACCAGAAGTGCCTCTAGGCACTTCTTGGCAAAACCTTCACGCTTCCAGCAGGTGATTCTGCAGCTCTGCAGCAGCAGCCAAACCCCTCCTGTCCATTGCTGCTTCTGGGTAAATGCTGTGCGGCCAGGGACTTCTCACACAAGAACATTTACACCAGACAATACCAAATTACAACAACCGGCGACATCTGGGAGATAGCTCTAACATAAAGATGAGATTAATGGTTTTGTGTTACTCCATGGACTGGACAGGCAGCTGGCTGTTTTGACTGGAGGCTGCCCAGTGATGGTCCCTCAGACTGCTGCTGTGCAGTCAGTTTTCTGCACTACAATTTCCCACTTTGTTTTCAGGAGAGAATGAAACTTCTTGGAAATATTGCAGTTCCACCTGGTTTCACATATACTGTGCCAATGACTTCAGAACAAGACTCCCATTTCCATTATGGAAATTGAGTTTTTAAGCAGGGGAGGATCCTGGCTTTAGAAAAGAAAACAACCTAACAACAACAAAATTAGGTGTTTAGAAAAGAGTAACCTGAAAGGAGTTTAGGCTTTGAAAAATACAGAATGACTATTTTATAATTTTCCCTTCATATGTACAATTATGGGGTTAACAGCAGTCATTTCCAGGCCTAATGAAAGGACTTACACCTCAGTTTAACAGAAAAAATGATAATCACAAAAATTTGTGAGTGTGAAGAGCTGAATAAAAATGATAATAGGTAATTTTTACAAAGCATTTGCTTGTCAAATAAAATCCCATTTTGTCAAATGTTATTTTTTCCAGTATATCCTTATGGACCTTGAGAGACTGGTCTCTATTTGCCTGAATAGTCCTGATGGAACATGTCTAAATTAAGGAGTTTGAATACAGTCAAAGTTACCAGACTTTTAAAACCAGATTTAATGCCAAAGTAAGAAAAATGTGTGAAAACAGGAGAGCACTAGACTTAAAAGTACAGCATTCTGCCTCATGTTCTCTGTAGTCTCCATTTAGAGATGAACTGTAGTTGTTTTGCTCTCCTCATGAGAGGAAATTTAACTTCCATTCTCATCTGGTACTTGCCTTTTATTCAAGAGAGGCTGAATACTCAGTTAAAGTGTGCTATACTCCCTGGTGGGTTTACAAGTATGAATACCTTCTATACTTACTTGGACTCAAAATCTGTAGCCAGTTCAATGGTGACATCAGCAGAAATCCATCATACATTTCTGCTTTTCTAGGAACTCACATATTTATCTGTTCATCTATTTCCCTTCTTATGTATCAATCAGTTACAGTATTTCAGTTATGAATAAAGTTAGCAAAGACATGCAATTTGAAAAAACAAAGCAACATTAATGCTAAATATCACCATGCATAAGCACATACCAAGCATAGTTACACAGAAGTTCTTCATTCAGCATGCTAGAGGAAAGACTGGTGTAGCTGAAGCAAGGACCCTAAGGAAGTACAACATCATATCAGTTAAAAACAAGCACTAAGCTTCCTACATACATAACATAGAAGGCAAACAAAACATGCAAATAGCCACAATAACATTTAAACAAATTTCTTTTTGAGTTAGTAAATAAGGCTGAATCTGTCACCTTGTTGAGATGTGTGCTTTGGTCCTTTGGTTTGGTATGAAAATGTATTCTTCCCACAATTTTGATGTTGGCCACAATGACATGCAAACATGGCCTTTTCACAGATGTATTTTACAGTGTGTCAATACTGTTACAATTACCTCATCTAATTCTTCAAATTTCTTAGGGAACTGTGAAAACTTCTCATAACCTTGCACTCTTATCAGAACACCTTTGAAGACAGACCATCTTTTCTCTGTCACTATAAAATCTGAATCACTCTTAAAAAAAATTGCCACTGTGTTATGAAAATAATTCTGTGTTAAATTGGCTGTTTGACTAGAAGGCGTATGCCTTTTAAAGACTCGAATCAGTAAAATTCATACTGTGATTCTGAGTAAAATTTAACAAATGCAGTCCCACTTCAATGCAGTTTATGAGGTCCCATTTTAATTTTGTATTTCATTTCATATTCTGCTGTAGCACTACTGTTCTAGCACTACCCACTAATATGGACTACTCACTGTTTCCCAATTCTCTTTTTCCACTCTTTCTTTTCCATGCTCATTTTGCCTCCTCTATGCCTAAGATTTTCCTGTGTTTTTCTCCCACTACCTTGTCATACTTTTTACAGTATATAATTCACTATTCCTCCTCCTTTTGGCCTGCTTTATGTACCTTTTTAATCGTGAAATTATTCTTTTGCCTCATGTCTTTCCATCCACCATTCCCTCCCACCCTGTCTTTCACAGAGGATTAAATTCTCTGCCACTGCCTCTCACTCAACTCTTTATCGTGTCTCCAGATGCTAGCACTTCTCTCAGCTCTACAAATACATAGTGATCACAGCATTTCCTACCTGCCTCCTTAATTCAATGCCTCTTTCTTTCTTTTGGAAGATACATTTTTTCTCAAAGTGTTTTCTCTTTACTATTAAACAGGAGAGCCAGCCTCCTTAACTGGAGACACTACTCTTTCTGTTGTGATTCCAGAAAGGGAACTCTTGGGAATCACCTGGATCCAGTACATTTTGCTGCAGACCAGTATGAGATGCTGTGCCACAGAAGACTCCATACTATGAGAAGAGGGTGGGCAAAGAAGGGTACTGATGGCTTTAACACCTAAGGGAAGGCTGTAGCTCCAACAGAGGTAGGAAGGACAATCTCTGCTATTCTTCCTCTTTGTGTTCTACCACTTATTTTTACCATGTTGCTCTCATTAGTATTGGCTATAGAACAGGACAGGGCTAGATCCTCAATTATTCACTCCTCAGAAATCACATGGATTCAAATGTGACATTCTCACTGTATGACTTGTCACACAGAGCAACAACAAACATCTCCAGGTGAGTCATGTCTCTGCAGAAAGCTTTCAACACAGAACATGTGAATCATGTGCACCAAGAATACAGACTCTGCACACAAGCAATACCTATGTAAATACTCTTTGAAAAAGCCTTCTAAAATTAAAACAAAGAGAGTTTTCTCAGTCAAGTATTTGTGTGCATCCTTTTGCTACAGGAAGGCAGGAAGAAGAAGCTGTCAAACTTATACACTGCTTAAAGAGACAAGAGTAAAAAAAAGAGGCCCTTCCTCCTTTCAGTGCACTCACTGGCTTGTTTCTTCCTTTTGTGAGAGCTGCTGGATTTCCCTTGCTGTCTGCCATCTTCCTTCCTAATGAGGCAAAAGGCAGTGTAGATGAGGTTTTGATCAGGTTAGCTGTTTGACAGTTGTTGTTGTTATTTTGGTTGCCACTCAGTGTCTCCATTATGGACCGAAAGGTTCCAAAAGGCCTTTTTAGCTGATCCCCTGCTGTCTCACCAGAAGCAGGTGGAGCCCGCACAAGTCCTTTGCCCCGCTCCTTATCCTTTTCCTCATTTAGTTCTGGTTCTGCTAGCTCCACCTGCACTACAGGCTCCTCAAAAGTTACTCGAAGTTTCAAATTTTGGGAGGTTCTGCGCTTTGAAGATGGAGACTTGAGAGCACTCTTAGGGCTGGTGGCAACCTTTTGAGCAGCATCCATGCTGGATGGAGAGTTATCTCCACAAAACTGGCTCTGAGGAACAGTACCAGGCTGATAAGGGGCTTCATTATCCGGATCACTGTTCTCTGAAGTAGGGGAAGGACTGTGGCCATCCACAGACTTGGAGACCCTGATACCAAAAGGGAAGCGGCGTCCTCCTCCGGAAGTATGTTTCTTAATCATCAGGTGCAAACTCTCTGTGCTCTCAACACTCTCCACTATGGGCTGAGGCCTTGGTTTGTCAGTTCTTTTGATAGGGGTGTTCTTGTGGTCCTCAGAATTAGCCGAGTCTGTGTCAGACTCACTAAGTGACCTCTGCATCAGTTGCCTCAGTCTGGCTAACTTCAGCTCCCTCTTCTCTGGCAAAATCTTCTTCACGTTCTTGGAGGATGCATGAGCATCCTGAAATTCCAAAGTCAGCTTTTCCTGCGTACAGACATTTTCAGAGATTTCCTTCCCTAACAACTGGCGTAAGATTTTATCTGAGTCCTCATCTTTTGTCTTGGCTCGAGTGCGACTAGAAGTTCCCAAGCTGCCAAGAATATGAATCCCATCTTGGGTGTTTGATTTACTTTTTGGTGGAGACAATTCATCTGCTTCAGATGGTTTCCACAGGGGTTTGCCAGAAGCAGGAGATGATGGTAAGCTTAAAGAAAAAAAGAGGAGAAAATACCACAGCCAAATTAATGCACATATAAAATGTGAAACTGCCATTTCCAGTGTATGTGTCTGTCTCAGCTTATTGTTACTTACTCTCTTCATTGCTACCCACATGGAGCTCATTACTATGATGCCACAGCAAGGATTACACAGAGAAGGATGTAACTCTGCTTCCACTCCTAATTAGGATTTGAGTTTCTCTTACAAAGAAAACTCCTTGAAATTAAAACTTAGAATGGTTGTTTCAATGCCAAAGATGACTTTACTAGGAAAACTTTAGAGAAACCACTGTTTCCTATTTGTGGGAGTTGACATGTTTTAAAAGGTGAAAAAACCGTGTGAGGCCAAGTGCCTCCTATCCCCCCCCCCCCAAAAAAAAGTGGGTTATTCTAAATACTGTGAAATTACCAGCTATCTGTATAGCAATTGTTTAATAAATCTAAACTCCATCTGGTATTGTCTGGCCATATAAGACCTCATAAAAAGTCAAGGTGATTTGTGCTCAAAACCTTTTCAGATATGAAATACTGAAAAGTGTGAAAAAGGTGACATGAATTTATTTCAATACTATTAGAATAATGAAGTTCAGAACTCCAAAAGTTATAGAACAAGGAAACAGACTCGAAGAAGTCTGAATTGCAAAAAACATAAATTCTAGAGACCATTTTTTTCTCCATGACATGTGCTAGAGCTCATAATACTCTGCATTCTTATTTTAAACCTCTTTACCTCGAAGCAAGGATAAGACGATAAAATTAAGGTTAGTATGAGGCACTGAATTCATACAATTAATTTATTTTCTCACAAGCAACTTCTGATGAGTCCATAGTTCTCATAGCGTATAAAATTCACTATGCCTGTATTAGCCACCTCATCTTCAAATCATTTTCTGCTGCTTCTCCTGTGGCAAACTGAAATAAACATGAAAGAATACGCATGTATCTACCACAGACATTCCTAGTAAAAATGATAGGTTCTCTTAGATCTGCTACTGGCTGCTTGGATGATGATAATATTCACAAATGAGCTCTAGCTGGAAGGAAAAGTAGTACCCAACTGTGAAGTAAAACATTAAATAACAGAGCATCATTTTCAGACTTCCTTACTTAACTAAAAGGATACTGAAACCTACCTTTTTACAGGAATAATGAATGATGAGATATCTGCTCTCAAATGATCTTATCTGATACTTAAAGAAAAGAGTCCTGGTTCTCACCAGTACTCATATGTGAGACCAGTCAGCAAAAATTGCACAAACCAAATAAGCTGAAACAGATATTGGTCTTATTGTTCCTGTTGAGCTGGCAGACAGGGAAGACAGAGACCATGATTTAAAAAAAAGGGACAAAACAACTCTTTCCAGTGTGGTTTTCTATTTTAGGAGTTTGGAGTTTACAGCCATTTCCTAGCTGAAATTCCTTCACACATGCACCTCCAATCCCAATGTCCTTGTTATCTACTTCTGTAACTTTTTGCACTTGTCTGAAGCACTCACACATTAAATTGAGGGTCATGGAGCACTTGTCCAGAAAAGCATTTGGGATTCTGTGAGAGTGGAACAAAAGCAGTCACTGAATCTATGAATTCATACTTGATGACCCAAAGCTCTGACCATCAATATCTGTAGAAGCTTTTTTGTTAACTTTACATTTTAACATATATGAAATTCCCTAACAACTCTGAAACAAGGAGCACTGCATGTGTCTTCCAGAGAGGAAACTGGATTAGAAGATTATGACAAACTGAGTCCTATTTGCATGTGAGTTATTTAATTCCTTTCAAAGTTTTCTTCAGATTGTTATCAGACAAAAGTCATGTGCTCGCCTGACTTCCATGCATCACACTGGAAGTCTATGGCAGAAGTCACAGAGGTATGTTAGCAGGCTCCAGATCCAGTCAGCTGTCTTTACTTTCCTCCTCACTCAGTTTGTGTGTATTTCTGGCACTTCTGACAGGATACGTAAACAGTATACAAAGTTTTTGGAATTTTGACTTTCCATCGATCTAATGAAGCCAAAAGATTTAAGAAGCATAAGGAGTCTTACTAATCCGAAAGCAGGTTTTGTTGGCAACTGGACGAATTATTGCTGGAGGTACTGTATGGACCATTATAAGATCAAACTTTACAACTTTTCTAGGGTTTTCTAGGCTCCTCTGCTGTTCATCTAATACAACATATATTCTGTTCTACTGTAAATCTGATTTTCACTCTATTGGGTAATAGGGACTGTTCATTTCATAGTCAAAATTTCCAATAATTATACGACATTACACACTTTTACATTCTAGAAGCTCAGCTTCAAGCTCACAAAAAAAAACCCAACATATACCATTTAGCCAGGTCATAGCTTCTCTTGACAACTGATATACCATGAAACTATGCAAATCCAGACTGCAGCACAATTCTAGTCACCTTACCTTGGGGACATGGGCAGTGACTTGCCCTCAGACCGCTGGGCTTCTAAAAGCTGCTGGAGTTGGTTCTGTAATGTAACACGTTCCACTGTCTGCCTGCAAGAAAATGTAAGACTGTTTACCTTGAATTGTAAAACTGTTAGCATTAACAACCTACAGGATAACTGATCCTACCCATTCAACTTTATATTCAAAAAATAAATCCTTTTCACCTATACTTTACATAGTAAGTAAAAAGAGAAATTATAAATAATAGCACAAACAGGCAGCTTGTACTTGTCTCTGAATTCCTGTGGATATTTTGTGATGATGGCACAAGATCAACTCAGAGATTTCTCCGAATCATTACCTGTCAAAGATTATTTATTGTAATTCATATAAGGAAAATGTGGAAGCAGCAGTTCATTGGAACCAATTGACTTACAGAAAATAATAGCAGAGAAACAAAGATATGGCAGAACAAATGTAGGGCCACTTGATTCTTACTTGTTACCATAAAGGAAGAGGAAAGGGTCAGATTAAGAAGTCACTTCCTACATTTTGTAGTTGGCTTTTACTGAGCTAAATGATAGCTCCGACAACTGCTCTCTACTCTTCTATCTGCAAATAAACTCAGAGAGGAGCCTTTGCCCACTGGTCTAATCTTCTTCAACTGCAGAATGAAGCTAAGTATGATCTCTGTGTGATTCAGTGGAGTAGGAAAAAAACACATCTGCCTGCTGCCCAAATGTATCACAGATCCTACCTGTGCTTTACACTAACTTTATACTCAGTAGTGCTGTACCTACTGTAGCCTTCAGTCTGGTGTGATCTGCACTGATTTGTAAATAACTTTAGAGACCATTGTTTAAAAAATTGTGATAGTATATATTAATTGTTAGTATTATGAAAGTGACATCCATACTACAGACTCCATTCACCATCGAAATGTAATCATAATCTCTCTTATCCTGCCACATTCTTATTTTCATCAGAAAGACTCAGTTCCACAAGATAACCTGCAAACCTTCCAAGTAGTTCTATAAAAATGAAGGCTTAGCTCTATTTGCCTAAAAAAGTTTTTCTCCTGTTTCCCTCCCATCCAATTTAGACCTTCCATTCTAACATCAAAACACCCACACCTTTAGCTTGTCAACCACTACAGTTAACATTCCATCTTGTTTAGTGACCTCTAAGTTCCAGTGCTTCTAAACACTGCACAGACAGAATTATTGGGAAACTACTGAGAAACCAAAGAGACTTACAACTTCTTGTTACTCTGTGTATGGTACCTTTCATCTGGAATATAATTGGTACATTTGGTTTTATTTCCTGGTCCTCATAAAATCACCATGTGAAAATGACTTTTTACCTGCTTCTTCCAGGCTCTGCTTCTGTTGCTGTAGAAGTAATATATTTTTAGTATTTTAATTCTTGTTGGATCTGCAGAACTAATACAGTTCTCCACCAGTGAGCTGGACTCTTTCTTAGCTCACAGGCCATCAGCAGAAGAGTTAGCTGAGTTCCAAGTGCAGCCTTTGTAACTGGCAATGTGAAAGCCAGAATGACTCCAGATGACTTTTTAGACTACGGGTTGTACTTGCAGGGCTGGCAGAAAACCAAACTTTTTAGTTTTAAGATATCAGAGTGGATCTGAAAACTGCTACAGAAATAAAGGTAGGATTTTGACATACTGAATTGCCATCACATGCTTTATGTAGATCCTTTCTTCTTTTAATTTTCCATCTTCCTTCCTCTTGCCTACACACTTCCTTAGATTATTTTAAAATGACTCCTACCATCTGTCAACATTGGCTTATATTGCAACTTCCCAGATACTCTCTTTCAAGAGCCAGGGAAATTTGCATTTTGAGATTAGATTGTGATGCAGTTTGTCTGCTTTATTTGCCATTTATACTTCCTTCAACTTCTATTTCTAAATATCTAACTAATGTAGCTAACAGTTTCTTATGCTTTTAGCTGTAATGGAAATCTCTGACACCTCTTCTACTGAGTTAAAGTTCTCATTCCACTTAAACATCTTATTATGCTAAAAGAATTGAAGCTTCCTCTATTTTCACAGTTTAACTAGTTAGCAAATAGCTCACAGAAACCCACACATCTTGCCAGAACTGTCCCTAAAGGTATATAACATACACATATATATTTAACGTAACATTGAAAATGAGGGATCATAACTTCTTGGGATATTTAAGCATTAAAACCAGACTGATTTGGGAGACAGGATCACTATAGCTTCAGGAGTAAAAAAGTCTACTTACTTTATGATGTTTAATGCCCAAATTTTGAAGGTCTTAGCTTAGACAATGTTCACAGTAAGTAATATGTAAGGACACTTCCGTGTCTACTTAGACAACTGTGGATTCCCACTACCGCCTAATGGAATCAGGGAGCTCAGCAACTGAACAAGGAACAGTCTGAGGCATTGGGCTCTACTGAAGTATCTGTCATAGCATGTTGCCTTACTTATCTGCTTTGTTTCAAATAAAGGAATGGCCACTCTATGAAGCTAAAAATAGAACAGCTGAACTAAGTAGAAAAGAGACGAATGGATAATTGTGAAGTATATACTGGGTTTCCTATTATATGTCTGTATATCATTTACTACCAAAAAAACAGCCCCCAAAAAAACACTCTCCCCCCCAAACCTAGCCCAATACAAAACCCCCAAACACACTAGCAACTTGCATACACCATAGCGCACCTCTGCAATAACTTTTTTATTCAGCTGTTTTTCAGCTATTCCTCTGAAGTTTCAGGAAAACCATGGATTTTGTTTACAGAACACAGAAAAGTGTGTTTACGGAACACGGAAAAGAGGATATTAAACCACTCTCTCATCTTCATCTTTTGACTCATGGTTTGCTTTGATCTTTGCCTTGATAGAGATTTTGGCTTGTGTATCAGAAGGATCAACAAGTCTCTCACTGATTAACTGCTTTGCACATCCAGGCCCATAAACGTAGGACAGTGCAGCCCTTTGGGAGTGCAAGTAGAACTGTCTGTCATGAAGCAGAATTGTAAAAGTAGTCTAGGGAAGCATTAATTTTATGTCAGTAGTTCTGATCTGGTCTCTTCAGGCCAGGAAAGTCCAAACGATACAAATCATTACTGCTAATGTCATCAGTGCTAAAAAGTATGTATTTGTGAAAGTAGGAATTCTCTACACTGGCATCTACATTTTTTTTAAGCAGATTAAATTAGTGAGGAAATAACTAAGACTTTAAGACTTACGAGATCTCAGGAACTAAAATGAAAGGCAATATTTTGCATAGACTCTGCAAGAAACTTTTGTGTCATAAGCATTTTGTTTAATTCAGAAAGTCCTACTGGATTGAGAAAAGATCTATAATTAGTAAGAGATGTAAACATACACTTTTATTTTGAAACCAGAAACAGTTGGGTTTTTTTAGTTCCTTCCCTCTTTTGAGAAAAAGTCTCAGTTAATACTCTTGTGAAGATTCAACAGAGCATTTGTAGTTGAGCTGCTTTGGATCAAAGAGCTGAAAGATGTGAATACTCCGGCAAAATGTGATTTTACTGTTTTGGCTGTAGGCCTTCTTTTCAGGAATGGCTCCAAAAAGTGAGATGAATTGGGATCACTCTTCTCTAGAACTGCTCTGTGTTGCCTTGATGATTGAGGGCTCATGAAAAGAGAACAAAAGAAAGTACTTCCTTCTTTGGTTTAGGACCTTTGAAGACAGGTCTTGGTAGGTGCTGGTCTAAGACAGTTTCTGTGCTGCTATTCTTGCACCATATCAACCACTCTGGTCTTCCTGTAGCTGGGGAGATACAGTGTTACCAGAGAGAGGCTACTAAGCACCGAGAATAAAAGAAGACTGAATGATCAGCTCGTGTTTACAGCAGTTGAGGGACGGCTGGGAAGCACATTATGTGTTGATACGAACCATTCACATAATCCATCATGATGCAATCATAGCTCCTCTGTCTCTAGAACTTTGTCCATTAACATCAGCAGAAATAGGTGGAGGAAATACAGCTGATTTAGCCAAGTTGGAGATATCCTTATGTAAATGCAGTTTGAAGTGATTAAGCATAAACTGGACTTCCATCTGTTGCTATCTGGTGCTTTCAGGATCTTCAGAGCTGCAGTAACCAATGAATTCTCCTGTTATGCCAGAGGTAAATATCCTTGAGAAGATGCCAATGCCCAGGCATGTACTTGGATTTTTATGTAGGATGGGCCTGCAAAGCAGTGGAAGATTTTTCTGTCATCCTCTACAGCTCCTGAGAATGGGCCTCTGAACATGGTCCATTGCTTCTATCAGAGTCATTCACAGCCTGAAGCTTGCAGCCCAAATAGCCACATAGAAGCTGATCTTTCAAGCAGAAAATAGAGTATTTCACTGCCTCAGTAAACTGCAATAGGATTGCACAAGACTCAGTCTCTTTGTAGACATGGAAGAAAAGACTGATGCAGCAGTTACTGGAGCTAAATCTGAAGCCTGAAAAATAGGCTGCTGAAAGGAAGCAGATTTAACTCCAGCTGAGACAAGTAAAGGAACCCACCAGGAGCCAGATAAGAATAATTTAAATGACTTCCTATGCGTGCAGTCTGTAAGATGACAGGGAGAGACATGAAAAAGTGGCAGTATTTTTGTCAGAACTAGACTATTTCTATAGGGGTAAACAGCCTGCTGGCTGGCGTAACAAGTCTTTCTTTTCCATAGGAGAGATATCAAATACTGGGTGAGCACTGAAAAGAACTGAAACATGGAGAATCTGAGGTCGCCATTCTTACTTCTTGGTGTGTGCAATTTTTTTCCTGCTGAGTTATGAGGAAATTTCATTATATATATTGAGATGATTCAGATGGTAATGCAGGCTACTCAAGAAATACCCTATGTTCTCTTTTTTTTTTTCCTTTTATATCAGCTGATTTGTATATTTTAGTATTTCCCAGCAAATGAACCAACTACAAAACACCTGATACATAGGATTATCAGAAACTATTTTCATGGCTTGTGGTAGCTGACAAGCTCTTCATCATGCATCTAAGTCAAAACAATGTTAGGTCAGTGCTGATGCTTTCTAAGAGTCTTACGAAACTGTCAACATTACTAAGTCACAGTAACTGCATCTACAATAAAAGCAAGCAACTGCGTAAATTCATGTTTCAAAATAACAGGCTTTTTACAGAATGTTTAATAAAACCCAAACAAAAATATTCAAACCAGCTCCTATGAAGAAAAAACAGAGCATATTTCCTAAGAAGCCACTGTGGGCTTTGGTGACCTTTCAAGTCCAACCTCCCCCCCCCCCCCCCCCCTCGCAACTATTATTTTCATTATTTTTCCCAACATCAACCCCCAGCACTGTAATTAGAAAAAGAAACTCACTGTATATAAAAGCATGCTATGTGAACAGAAATTATGATCATCAACAATGTGATCCCTAGGTATGCAAACAGAAAAGGGACTATATTGCTTCATACATACCATGTTCCACTCCTTTCATCTATGTTCACAGCAAACTGCCTACAAAGAGAACAGCTGAAAAACTGAGCTGTTAAAGGTGAAGAGGCAAATTCTTGAGAACAGGAAAGAGTGGAAAAATAAGGTAGAAATATGACTTGAAAGTATCATACATAAGAAGCAGAAACGAGACACTGCTAATAAATTAAAGACAAAGTAGGGTATTTTAAGAATGATTCCAATGCTAGCAATGAAACACTTACTCCTTTAGCTGCTTAGTTAGCTTGACCACCTGAGAGGCCAATGACATACATGTCTCCACAACTACCAAGTAGCGGGAGCACATGGTGTGCCCATGTCGCTCAGCACTTTGTGAGGGTTTCTCTCCCACGTGGTTTTGCATGGTGACATTTGCTCCATATTCAACCAATGTCTGTAAAAACACAAAAAGAAACACTGACATCTGTAAATGTTTCTGTTCTGACTTCTAGTTAAGCACAATATTGACTGGGCCCAAATCACTCCTGAATAAAATGCTTGGAAATGCTGGTCTAAGCCAATCACTTTTAAAAATTGGTCACTTGCAAGTCTGTATGCAGACTGAGCTCAAAACACATACCATCAAAATCTAGCAGTCAGGTGCAAGGATAACACAGAATAGTGAGCTGTTGTTCAGAAGAACTAAGAAAAGGCTGTATTCTTCTTTCCTCTCTCTTTGGAGTTCTACTCAGTCTTCTGTTTGCTTGTTTGTACAGTACAGTATGACTTTTAGTATTCATAGAGTGAGCAGGACTACCAAATGAAAACACAGGACTTACTTTCAGGTACCTATTATCTCCTTATAACCAATACTGAGCCACAGTAACAGAAGCATGTGTCTATGCATTACTGAACATTGTGCTAAATTTGCACATGGTAATTTTAAAAAAGAAGACACAGGCAAGTGCAATTAAAATGACTTGATAACATCAGGGGCCAGGGCAGACTGAACACACTGCTAGCCAATTTATAGAAGACGGTGATCAGCTGTATTGGCTTACCAGGTCTGGTATCCACTGTTCTTGGGATCTCTGTGCTGCATTGCAACACACCCTTAGAATCTCATTTTAGGAGTCTTTACTACAGTATTTGCGGACTCTCTTTCTGGTTTAGCTCTTAATTTCCTAATTTAAAACACTCAACAGACTCAGTCTCAATTTCCTGATTCCTTAGCCAAATGATGTTTGGATAGGAAAAATATGGCAGATACTTTTCAACAATGCCTTTTAAGTCAGACAAAATTTTTTTTTGCAGAAAAAAAAAAAAGTATGTACCATCACTTTTCATTTGTTCTGTTGGTTTTGGTTTTGTTTGTTTGCTTGGGGTTCTCTTCTGTATATGTGTTTTTAATGCTGAAAGAAGTCTCATTGCTTTGCACTTGCTTGGTTACATTCTCTGTTCTCTTTTAAAGATATACTCAAATATATGCCAACTTTTAGTCATTAAGAGAAATAATGGCTTATATTTTGATGTGTACTCCTGTGTTACTCACAGTGCTAGCAAAGAAACCTAGTTTGTTGCTGAAGAACTAAGTTGTGAGCATGACATTTGAGTTACTTCGGGGACTTGAATCCAGAGCATTGTAAAGGCAAAGAAGTTCTGTCAGATTGATCTCAAGATGTCCAATCGAGACCAAATCTTCAGCCTTTTCAATCTGTTTATGATAATTAGTGTTATGCACTATTTGCTTTACTGGTGTGCATTTAAGATAGGACCTAAATATTCTCAGCGATGTTCAGACACACACTGCTCATAGCACTTTGGAAAAAATTCTGAACAAATCATAATGCATTCTTAAACTACAGCATTATTGACATCACACATACAGATGAAGAAGAGGTATTGCGTGGCTGAGCTCTTGGTTGACTTATGCAAGCAGAGTTGGTAATCCACCAAGCATTGGAGTGGCCTTGTTGACTAAGAACACCAGCCACAGAGACCTCTACATCTGCTTACAGAGAAGAGGAATGATGATCTGTCTGGGCTTCTAAATCTATAGAGAAAGGGAACTTACCAAAAGTCTGTCACTGCATCTCATGTCAATAAATTTGGTTTAATTTTCTGATAAAGAAAATAAAGAAGGGAAAGTTCTGTAGAAAGCAATCTTATAGTTTGGAACATGGTAAGAGTATCACCAGCTCAATGAGAGAGCCAGAGAATCACTGACAGCTGGTGACCCTCCATGTTTTGTAATGCTACTTAGAATCTCAATGCCCCCTTTATCACTTCTTTCCTTTTACCATATCATTCACTGTATATTGTTTTAAATTAGACTATAAACTCACTTGGAAGAAGGCTTATTTTGCATAGAGCACAACAAAACCTCAACTACACTTAAGACTGAGGTGTTCATGAAGTGACACTACTAACATTGTATATTTTTGTTGTCATTAGATATTTTCATGTTTTATTTCTCCTGGTTTCACTTCAGCACAAAACACTTTTTGATTTCTACATTTATTTACAATAAAATAATATTGAGAATTCTAAGCTATTTATTAAGGTTTATTCTTCACAGGGAAAGCAGGGCTATTCTCTTTTTTGTTTTGTTTTATCCATGAAAACAGCCTGCAGATGTCACCACTCTGTTCAAACTCATCTACTCTCATTTCTCTTTGAAATTCATTGTCCATCTTGATAAGGCACTGTTGAGTTAGCAACACACCCTACCACAGTAGTGCTCCCCCCCAGTAAATCATCAACATTTCTTCTATCCACTTTTTTCAACTGATTATAGTTTGTCACAATACAATATTAAAACCACTAAAATTAGCATGGATGTGATGATCTTTATTTTTTTTCTCATGAGGGTTTGTAGAGGGTCCATCCCTGACATCTTAAAAAGACAGACATCTATGAGAAAATGCACAGTCACTTCCTCCAAATCTATTTGACTGTGTTCAAGTCTATTCATTCAGCTCAGCTGTCACCTGTTTTCCTTTTTTCATCGCACGAGACTCTCAAACTGGCTTTAGCAGTCTTCTTGGTGTCCAAGTACATAGATAGACTGCTATAATAATAATAAGCAGCTATGTATCTGCAGATTTAACATAACTGTGCACTCCAGAGAGGTTAGATAATGAGTACTGACTAGCTGTATTTCTTTTAGCATTAATACAGATTTTCTGTATTTGCAGTGAACTAAGAAGTGCTGTCATATATGGTAACAGGATTATTTATTCTTTTATCTGTTTTTATCCAATGACTAATTTGTTTCTCAAATACATTTCTGAAATAATTTTATTATTATTTCTTCTCCAGTCAGCTTTCACTTTAAGTGCTCACAGCACTGAACACTGAAATGTGCTTCTGTAACTAAAGGTTCTAACAACTCTGATGGCCAAAAAGTACATCAGCAATTCAACTGCAAATCTGCAGAGTTGAGATGTTTAACCTAGCCATCCAGTTCAACCTTATAGCTTTTTTGGTATGTCTGCACTTGACAATGGTACCGTAAAGAGGTATCCAAACTGGTTTATTCAGATCTGGCTCCCAGAAGTACTATAGCTGCATAAACATTCTTAGCAGGACAAACTACCCTTTTCAGTAGCTCTATAAGACACAACTATACTGCTTTCAGTGGCCAGGCCAATTCATTGAGAAATAGTTAGAAATCGGCATTACACTGCATTATTCAGTACAGACACATTCAAAAATTCTAAGTCTGGAAAGAATGGTTTACTCAGGGTAGAAATCCTTCAACATAGATAAATTTATCTGCCAGACTTTGCCTAAGCAGGAGAGCTACAACTATTCACTGGAAAAAGAAATGTAAGGAAAATATCAGAAGAGTACAAGTATCTACTCTGGCTGCCCTTTTGTATCATAAAAGAGTATACACTAGTTGCTCATGTATAAACAATATAACAATATAAGCACACTTTATTCTTGCAATACAACAGTTACTTTGGGCTTACAACAGCATAATTGACAACAGAATCGAAATCCAGATCTTTTCAGTATTTCAGTCTGAGTCCTACTGCTTTAAAGTTCCTCATTCTAGTATATTTTAATGTATCAATGATTATTCCCTCTTGTAAGATCTCTTATAATCATTTTATTAGTGATTTGATGTAAAGAGGTTTCTGGTACAGCTATCACTCTACCTGTATGCATCCTAGATAACCATGTTGAGCAGCTATGTGAACAGCAGTATTTCCATCCTGGTCGACTTCATCCAGTGAAATTCCCTGTTCTTGCATGAACTGAAGAAGCCACAGAAGGATTTTCTCCTAGGGGGAGGGGGAAAGAGATGTCACACACACAAAAAAATAATACAGCCCTAAATGTGCTAGATTATGGCTACTGTCTTCTGTTACTAATGTTGTCCAATAATTCCTTGTTTTCATCTCTCTTAACTTTGTAAGACTTAATGTATCATGTGTCTGCCTCTGTTGTTTGTTTGTTTGTTCCCTGGATAAATAAACTGAAGTACTTTGTTTTATAAAAAGACATACTAGGAAAAATATGAGTACTGTAACACTGTACTGTTATTACTGTACTGTACTTCTGAAAAATTGTTCATTAAAAAGCATGCATGCCCGCATATTGCAGGGGAGACCTTGGGCAGAAGAGCCTGTATGTCAATCTGAAAATCAGCTTGTGAAATGCGGTGAAACCTCATAAGTCTCTCTGGAAAAGTAAAGCAGGAGTATGTGGAGTTCATAGGGCTGAGCAGTTCAGATTCTTCAAATCTATCACCTGCCCAGCTCCGTGTGTGCAAGAGGAGAAGCAATACAACTAAACCTAGGAAATCCCTCTACCCTGAGCTCTCAGTGTGTTGGCTAGTTGACTGCTTGTATGCGAGTGCATGTTGGGAAGGATGGGAAAACATGAACTGCAAACTTGGAAGTGGAAGTCTGGAAGCAAAAACTGAGATGCCAACCTAACTCTTTTCAACATTGCTTTTTGCACATGTATGCCAGTGTATATTTATACATATTTACAGTGTACATGTATACACATTTATATGGGTATTCTTTCCTAACAGTGGACAGTTTACATAAGTGCACTATGCTTATTCTATTTCTTACTTGTCCCAGCAGGTTTATTTGGAAAAATCTTCTTCTCTCTAGGAACCTTCCATGACTCTCCAGATTAAATTTCGTTGTGCATTGCTGAATGTGATATATAATGAATATCTAGAATTAACCTACAGATTACATTAAAAAGTGAGGTCCATCAAAGGGTAGCTGACTACAGTTGTAGTCACAGTTTTTGCATCTGAATAGCTGGAAAGAATAAATTACTTTCTAGCTTGAAAATTCATTTAAAAATTTTTTTCTTATCTTCCTTTGACATCTATCATGTGTTATACTAGCTAGGAGCTCTAGTTCAAAATGGTTTCTAGTCTTGGTGAGGCAAACACCAACGCACAGACTTAACCTGCAGTACCTCAGTTGCTTCAGCAATACTAAGTACATCATCACTCACAGTCAGATACATGGGCCTGTAAGAATGAAATGTACCCAAATGAAACAGTACTGAAAACATGTCTAGGACTCTGAGCAGTAATCAGGTAGGAAAGAGAAAGAATAAAAATGAGAAAAGGAAATTTTACCTAGTAACCTTGAGCATAATCCTCTTTTTTTTTTTGTGTCTAAAAGTACCACAGAAATTTCAATATCAAGGAAAAAGAGATTCAGACTCTTTTAGGTTTCTTCTAAATGATTCTCATTATTCAAGCACCTGGATCTCTGCTTACTGCTTCAAAGGGCTAGTCTGTCTGGAACTTATCTTCTTCATATTTCCACTTTAACAGCAGTTTTGTTTTTATTACAGGGTGAAGGGGTAGGTATATTTACTTCTCCTTGGCTGAATGCCTAATATAGCTGACAGCCACCATGGAGAGATGACTTCAGATCACATACCCCTTTTAAAATATTTTTGAGCAATTTCTTGAGATGCCTGTGGTGTTGGCCAGCGGTGAAAAAGGATTACACTACTCCTATGAATTGCCCTTATGTTTTAATAATTAAAAGAAAAATATATTAGCAAAACTCCTCTGTAGAACTGGAAGACAGCTACAGCTTTGGAATCATATATTTATTTGAAACATAATAGGAACTAGAATGTTAAGCATGTTCTGTAATTTTATGATCACTATCATCGTGGAGCAAATGATGCTTTCTATTCATTTATCTTATCAACATGGAAATCAAGTGCCTGGAAGGCTAAAGGTAATCATCTGTACTTAGGACTGTCTGTGCATCAGCTGATCACAGGCTCAAAGTCAGAGGCCTACTCAAACAGTTTGTGTTCCTCTCAAATAACCGTATTTTTCAACAAACGTACTCTTGACAAAAACAAAACAATCCAGAGCAAAACAAAAACGCAAACCCAGCTACTTTCTTCATTTACATCTAGGGAAAATAAAAAATTATATATGAAAAATGTATCACTTCAGTAATACATTATCTATTTGGGACAAAAGTGTTCTTAGGAATAGGTTAAAAAAATCAACTCAATTTACTCAGACAAAATGAAAGATCAGAAAATTCATGAGATTAAGATAATGGAAAATAATCACATATTTGTTATGTAACAGGAAATGACAAATACTGACAAATTACTTAGTCTATCTGATCCTTCTAAGACCTACAATGGCCTTATGTTGTAGCAGTGGTTAATAACCTCTCTCACATATTCTAGGCCTATAATAATTCAAGCCTCCCTAAAAATAGATCCTGGGAAAATGTCACAATACATAATTTCTGCTTTGTGACAGGCTGCAGACTTTGGCTGAGTTTTGGAGCAGAAAGAACTAACATGCACCATTTAAACCATTAGACTACAAATGGAAGGCTTAGCACGGTGAGGAGGACCAACTCTAATCTTAACCTCATCAGTTGATATTAATTAAATAAGGTACCCTTCCCAATATCCCTTCACCATAGAGTGAGTGAAAAAATACATTATTCTTGCAAAAATTACATTAGACAGGGAACATCTTCAAACATCCTGAAGGTGAAAAATAGGTGTGTTGTTAGACATTTGCATACCTGCATGTCACACTGTCCTGCCCATTGTGCTCTCCACATTACACCATTGCCAAGTGGTGTTCGGAACCCTTTCTAGGTTCTCAGTCATGCTGTAGCTCTGCTTCCCTAAAGTTCCGTTAGACTGTCTGGAGCTTGGAGGCAACAAACCCTCGGCATTCCCCCCCCCCCCCATCTGCCTCTTCTGTGCTAGCGCATGCTACCACAGTATCCGTGTTGGAAGAAATTACAGCCCTGTGAAACTCTTACTCAGGAACTACTACTATGTGAATCTAGGACTGCACCACCACTTCTTCCTGTCACATGGTGTCTGTGCCAGACATAGCTGGTACACAATCTGCCATGTACCTGTGATTTATACCTGGCATGGAGAGGACTGCCAACAGCCCTGTTTGTATCTTGCATAATCCCATGCGTAAAGAAGCCCTTGATAGGAGGAGCAGCTGATCAGGCTACAGGTTGACTTTAAGCTCTTCCTATATTCCATCACATGAACTTATGTAGTTCCTCTCTCACTGGAAAATGTAACATTGTTGAGACGTCTTTGGAGTCAGGCCATGACTGTGGTTTGACAACCTTCAACATAGAAGCTATGCTATCAACTCCCTTTTGCTGCCCATTCTAAATGATATTTATTGAAGAAAAATATGGTGGCCATGTCTAATGTCTGGGGAAACAATGGATGGACTGACTCTTTTAGAAAATGATTCAGTAACAGGTCTTCCTCGTAAAAATATTACTCTTGTAATTCTGCCAAGACCAGTGTTTACACAGATTATCTCTCATGTAAGTAATGGAAAAATAAATCAAAACTTTGAGGAAAGTGCCAGCTACATATTTGAATTTCTCAAAGTTGTTTTTTTTTGCCTTAACACAGTTGGGTAAGACAGTCTGGCAAACATTCAGCCTCTACATTCCCTCATGTTTGCAAGATATTTATGAATTATATATATATATAAAAGATAATTGCCATTACATGTGAACTTTCTTTGGCATTCAGCTAACTAAGAAAAATTGTCAGCAATTTATATATTACCTTTTTAAATTTCATGGGTGACTGGTGTTTCTTAACTGGTAGAGCTTCCATCCTTCTCTGAAAAGAATCTATATAAAGGGTGCCAGGTTTGTTCCTGGAATTAGATAGCATAGCTGACTGAAAAAAAAACCCAAAGCTTACTGGATTTAGCTTGTACAAATATTTTCAGAGATGAGGACAAAATTAGGCTAATCAATTGAAGATATGAATGTAAGTTCACATGAAATTTTCTTTTCCAGATGTTTTCTTCCCAGTAGCAAACACACCTTTCTTGAATCCAATCCTGATCTGGCTCCAAGCCTCCCTAAATTCAGTGGTACGTTTACAGGTCAAACTTGCTGTGGAAAGCAGGACACCACCAATCAGTATATTCAGCAGGGTCCTAACTTGCACCGGTAACATCTGCATAGTAGGTGAATGGAAAAAAGGCAAAGGAGGTCTTTGCATAACATGAAATCAAGTGTGTCTTTGTGCCCAATGAAACAGGAAGAGAAAGGGTAGACTTCCAGCTCAGCCTTCCAAACCTGCCCCCTCTCTTTCCTTCCCCCTCCAGTAAATTCATGGCTGGACAGGATCAGTTAACAGCAGAAATATGTCACCATAATTCTATGGCACTGAATGAGACAACCACACTTGTACTGGAAATAAAAAGATAATTTTCTTAGTGGTTATATTTTGCTTGTTCTCGCTTAACAAGTAAAGAGGAAAAAAGCATTAGCACAAAAATAGTGGGTTTTCTGCATTTATTCTTAATCTCTGGTGTAGAAACTGAGCGTTAAACTGGACCACCTGCCAAAGAGATTATAGAAAAATAACCTATCACTATTCCTTGTATAGAAGATCCTGGAGAAAGTCTGTTGAACAGAGGTTATTGAAAGGTCTACTTCGGAAAAACAGACTTTGTGGGATAAGAATGTGGTGCAATTACGTGGTATATGTTTCCCCAGACATTAGAAAAGCACTGAAATGCTGTACTTCTTGTGTTTTCTCATCATTAGATTTACAGATAAGTGAGGTGTGGAAGAGGATCAATTTACAACATCTTTTATATGTAGTTCTCAATAAAACCAGCTAGAAGTAGGCAGATGGTGTTCAAGTTTCAACACACTTCACTGCCAATATACTGAATTCCTAAATTGCCACAATTTGCCAATTTTTTTTTGAGATTAATCTCTCCTGGAAAGGAAATGTGAACTATCCCCAAATGTTTGATGATTTTCTAATATGTCCTAGGAGTCCTCTAGGGATTATGACAGCTCATTTCCCTACCTGTTGGGGGTTGGAACTAGATGAACTTAAGGTCCTTTCCAACCCTACCTATTCTATGATTCTATGTTCCTGAGACTGATAGGTTGGCCTAATATGCCACCTAATCTTCTCCAAGCCATTAGTTAAAAAAGAAGGAAAGGAAAGAAAGGAAAGAAAGAAAGGAAATGAAGGAAAGAAAGGAAAGGAAGAAAGGAAATGAAGGAAAGGAAAGAAAGGAAAGGAAAGAAGAAAGAAAGTAAAGAAATGAAAGAAAGGAAAGAAGAAAGAAAGGAAAGACAGGAAAGTCAGGAAAGAAAGGAAGGAAGGAAGGAGGGAAGGAAGGGAGGGAGGGAGGGAGGGAGAGAAGGAGAAAGACAGAAAGAGAGAAAGAAGACCTCCCCCCCGCCCCCCCCGAATTTAGGAGGGAACTTACTGAAAAAAATACAGAGATTAAGTGGCAAAAGATTTTCTATATTTGAACTAAAAACACCTGTAGTTAAAAGCCATAAAATGATAATAATGCTTTACATTGAAATTCTTCTACAAGCACCAAAATAATCTATGTAAAAAAGTAAATTAAAGTCATACCTGGCCATAGCAACCTGCATAGTGAATAAGGCTTGGGTGGTCTTTTGAGCAACTTAATTCTGCAATAGCTTCTGTTTCGCTCACCATCCATCGAACACACTCCAGCTGGCCATTCTAAACAAATAAAAAATATACATTCCAACTGTTTCTGTTCTAAACACGTCTACTAAACACAGAAAAGTTTATTAGAATTATTAAAATATTATGAAATTCCAGTTTGTTTGAAAATGTGTTATCTGCTCTCATGTAATGCACTTGTTTATCTTGTCCCGTATCAGTTATGGTTCGGCTGTTGATTGCAGTGAAAGTGGCAGTCAAACAGTATTATATACATAACCTGGTCCTGTCAGACTGTTCAGAGAAAAACCATAGTTCTGTTTTCATCACTTGTACAGCAAGGCTCAATGACTAAATAAGATAATTTGCTGGAGCAGACTGAACAGTCTCCCTACAAACTCTGATATGCACTAATCACTATTCAAATCCATGCTTCCTAAATTATTCTTATGTACGTAGTAGCTGAACACCTAATCCTCATGGATTAGGACCTATCTGTAATAGATACTGTATAAACAGAAACAAGGAGGTGGTTCTTGGCCTGAACACATTTACAGCCTAGTTTCAAGACTTCCAAGCTGTTATGCACGCTCCTAGTAGTTTGCAAGTTACTGTGAAGTGGGACATAGATACTTTGGAAAGATATGAACATTTTCTTCAGACCACACTTGTGGCCCAGTTTAAAGGCAAGAGTTTTTAGCAGCTTCCCTTGCTGCAGCTACTTTTCAGCAACGGTACCTCACTAAATGCAGTTTTGCAAGACTTACATTCCAGCCTGTTCTTACTTAATTTTTCAGCTCTCATGTTCATAAAGGCTATTATATTCTTTATAGCTGAAACAAGTATTTCAATTGCTCAGTCAAAACCTTAGAGAGATCAACATACATAAATATAAAAAACCGTTTGCGTACATTAAAAAGAAAAAGCTATCATGAAAAGGAAAGAAATATCTATTTAAAGTTTTAGTCTTTTTACAAAAACAAACAGAAGACTGTAACAAATATTATATTATATATAAACGATTGGCTTCAAGACTGGTGCTGCAGGCAGGGCTTTGGATTCTTTGATAACGGCTGGTTTTATAGGGCACCAGTCTGGACAATGGCATGTGGGAAAGGTTTATCTCACAGAGGCAAAAGGATGCTGGGGCACGAATTAGCAGGGCTCATTTGGAGAGCTTTAAACTAGATTCAGAGGGGGCTGGGGATGTAGCTGGGCTTGCCCCAGTGGAGCAGCGCTCCAGAATTGATGAAGACTGGGAGGCCTCCTATAATCCTAGGGTGAAATCGGTGTGCTCAGCTCGCTCCCTGGAATGTCTGTACACCAATGCGCGCAGCACGGGAAATAAGCAGGAGGAGCTGGAAACCTGTGCTAAGTCAGGGGACTATGATCTGGTGGCAATTACAGAGACGTGGTGGGACAGCTCACATGACTGGAATATAGTCATGGAGGGCTATGTCCTTTTCAGGAAAGACAGGCCAGCCAGGAGGGGTGGTGGGGTTGCTCTTTATGTGCAGGAGCAACTACAGTGCACCGAGTTCTGTCCAGGGACAGATGATGAGCGAGTTGAGAGTCTGTGGGTGAGAATTAAGGTGCAGGCTGGCAGGGGCGATGCTGCTGTTACAGACCACCAGATCAGGGTGAGGAAGTTGACGAGACCTTCTACAGGCAGCTGAGAGCGGCCTCACAGTCACAGGCCATGGTCATCGTGGGGGATTTTAACTTCCCTGATGATTGCTTTTTCCGAGCTCAAGATCGGAGCATCCCGACACATAGGAAGTCAAGGAAGAGGGCCAGGAGACCTGCGTGGCTAAATAGGGAATTGCTGGGTATGCTCAAGTGGAAGAGGAGAGTTTACAGGTCATGGAAGGAGGGGCTGGCCACTTGGGAGGAATATAAGGCTGCTGCTAGAGGATGTAGGAAGGCAGATAGGATGACTAAGGCCTCCTTAGAATTAAACCTGGCGAGAAGGGTCAAGGACAGCAAAAAGCTTTTTCAAATACATGGCAGATAAAACTAACACCAGAGGCAATGTAGGTCCACTGATGAACGGGATGGGTGCCCTGGTGACAGAAGATACAGAGATGGCAGAGTTACTGAATGCCTTCTTTGTCTCTGTCTACTCTGCTGCAGGCAGTCCTGAAGAGCCCTGTACCCCTGAGACCTCAGATGAAGTCAGCTCAACGGAGCGGTTCGCCTTAGTCGATGAGGAATGGGTTAGAGACCAGTTGAGCAATCTGGACATCCATAAATCCATGGGTCCAGATGGGATGCACCCGCGGGTGCTGAGGGAACTGGCGGAAGTCATTGCTAGACCACTCTCCATCATCTTTACCAAGTCTTGGGAAACGGGAGAGGTGCCAGAGGACTGGAGGAAAGCAAATGTCACTCCAGTCTTCAAAAAGGGCAAGAAGGAGGACCCAGGTAACTATAGACCGGTCAGCCTCACCTCCATCCCTGGGAAAGTGATGGAACACCTTATCCTTGGTGCCATCTTAAGGCATATCAAGGATAAGAGGGTTATGAGGGGCAGTCAACATGGCTTCACCAAGGGGAAATCATGTTTGACCAATCTCTTAGCCTTTTATGAGGAAATAACACGGTGGATGGATGATGGCAGAGCAGTGGATGTGGTCTACCTTGACTTCAGCAAAGCATTTGACACAGTCTCCCACAGCATCCTCACAGCTAAATTGAGGAAGTGTGGTCTGGATGATCAGGTAGTGAGGTGGACTGTGAACTGCCTGAAGGAGAGAAGCCAGAGAGTTGTAGTCTATGGGGCGGAGTCTAGTTGGAGGCCTGTAGGGTCAGTACTGGGACCAGTATTATTTAATATATTCATCAGTGATTTAGATGAGGGAATTGAGTGTACTATCAGCAAGTTTGCTGATGACACTAAGCTGGGAGGAGTGGCTGACCCGCCAGAAGGCTGTGCTGCCATCCAGCGAGACCTGGACAGGCTGGAGAGTTGGGCAGGGAATAACTTGATGAAATATAACAAGGGAAAGTGTAGAGTCCTGCATCTGGGCAGGAACAACCCCAGGTTCCAGTATAGGCTGGGGAACAACCTGTTAGAGAGCAGTGTAGGGGAGAGGGACCTGCGGGTCCTAGTGGACGACAGGATGACCATGAGCCGACACTGTGCCCTTGGGGCCAAGAAGGCCAATGGCATCCTGGGGTGTATTAGAAGGGGGGTGGTTAGTAGGTCGAGAGAGGTCCTCCTTCCCCTCTACTCTGCCCTGGTGAGACCGTATCTGGAATACTGTGTCCAGTTCTGGGCCCCTCAGTTCAAGAAGGACAGGGACCTGCTGGAGAGAGTCCAGCGCAGGGCAACGAAGATGATTAAGGGAGTGGAGCATCTCCCTTATGAGGAAAGGCTGAGGGAGCTGGGTCTCTATAATTTAGAGAAGAGGAGACTGAGGGGTGACCTTATTAGTATCTATAAATATATAAAGGGGGAGTGTCACGAGGATGGAGCCAGGCTCTACTCAGTGGCAAACAGTGATAGGACAAGGGGTAATGGGTACAAACTGGAATACAAGAGGTTCCACTTAAACTTGAGAAGAAACTTCTCAGTGAGGGTGACAGAACACTGGAACAGGCTGCCCAGGGAGGTTGTGGAGTCTCCTTCCCTGGAGACATTCAAAACCCGCCTGGACACATTCCTGTGTAACATTATCTAGGTGTTCCTGCTCCGGCAGGGGGATTGGACTAGATGATCTTTTGAAGTCCCTTCCAATCTCTAGCATACTGTGATACTGTGATAAACCCATCTAAAATTATACGGGAGTAATAAAAACTGGAATAAGAGTAAACTGATACTTGTCTTATTCTTTCCATATGTAATGTATGTATATAAACACAAAAATGCACACCATTATATTTTACTTATTTTTCTCTTTTTCTCTCAATTTCAATAATGAAGTGAAACAATGAAGCTACTTCTGTTCTTTTTAGTATATTACAAAAAATCCCCCTTATCATATTTGAGTTTGAATATTAGTGACTAATAATTTTTTTATTCTGTTTTTCCTTTGTATCACAACTGAGTAAAATAATTTTGTATTTTTTAAATTTAAGCTATAGAATTAATAAATTACTTGCTAAATAAGATAATTTTGCTAATGTGGAACAGATTTCTCCGCAGTTAGTTAAAATAACTTATCAACATGACAGTATGACATAACAGCACTCCATTTTTCTCTCTCTAGCTCACAGCTAAAGGTCAGAAAGAGTACTATAATCGAAAGAATTAGTTTTAATTAATTAATTCTTTACTGGGAAACGTTATGCATCATCAGTGAATTGCTTAAATTTTCTTGCATGGAAATTTCTGTTCCTGCATGCAAGTTTTCTTGTAAAACACAGGTGCATGCCCCACATGGTGTAATATTCTGGAACTTGGAATGAATAAAGTCCATTCTATCAGTATGCAAAACCACTTTGGAAGTAAGACTCAAGGACTACAAAGTTTAATTATGCCAAATTACTTTAAGGCTGTCAAGACATTTCACAATGATCCAGGTCAAGTCCAGCCATGCAGGTCATCATTAGAAACACTTGGGCCTTAGCACCCCCATTTACATTAAAAACTCCATTACATTTACACATTTTTCTGTGAATGTCAAAGCATGCTCAACTATTATAAAAATTAAAGGAGCCAATCATTAAAAAAGCTAACCTTTCTGGAGAAAAAGACAAAAGATTTTATTTGACTATAAATACAAAACATACGAAGGTTGGGGGAAAAAAACAACAAAAAACAAACAAGAAAGAAAACGGTTTCCAAGTAAAATTGTAAGACTTTAAATTGGGAGACTGTAACTATTCAGTTTGGACATGGGCCAAGGTATTGAAGCTAAATACCTGACTTTTATAATAGCATTTCATTAGTACAACTAGCTGTTGGTTTAGGTTTATATTCATATGGCTTGTCCCAGAGAAACTGAAAGAAAACCACAACCCTGAAACTTGGATCAGGGCCATAGGTCACTGAAAACATGCCTCAAAGATGCAAACCTGGAATCCAGCAGTCCTCTTTCCATTTCTAAAGTTTTCCCAAGAAGTAAATAACAATAAAATCCCAGAAGAATAAGAAACTCTTGTATTGTATTTCACCCCTTTCCTTGTTTCTTCTTAAGATATTTAGTGGATAAAAGAAATGGCATCCAACTATTCAATCTCACTTACTAAAGAACCAGAATCAGTATGTTTAACTATCAGCCTTCCTGTGCACCACTATGTTTTATTTTACTGCAGCAACAACAGTAATTTTCACATTTTCCAACATAATAAGAGCAAGATAATGGGTAGGGCCATCCCAGGCCCAGCTACAGGTTGGGAGGAGAAGTGACAGAGAGCAGACCTGCGGAGAAGGACTTGGGGGTGTTAGCTGCTGAGAAGCTTAACATGAGCTGGCTTCAGTGCGCACTCACAGCACGGAAACCAACCGTATCCTGGGCTGCATCAAAAGGAGTGTGGCCAGCAGGTCAAAGGAGGTGATCCTGCCCCTCTACTCTTTCCTTGTGAGACCCCATGCTGAGAAAGTTGGGGCAGTTCAGCCTGGAGAAGAGGGGCTGCACAGCATTCATAGCATTCTTCCAGTATCTGAAGGGGGCCTATAAGGATATCAGAGAGGGACTCTTCCTTAGGAACTGCAGCGATAGGACAAGGGATAGCAGGTTTAAACTTAAACAGGAGAAGTTCAGATCAGATATAAGAAAGAAGTTTTTTACTGTGAGGGTGGTGAGGCACTGGAACAGGTTGCTAAAGAAGTGGTAAATGCTCCTTCCCTGGCAGTGTTCAAGGCCAGGTTGGACAGGGCTTGGAGCAACCTGGTCTAGTGTGAAGCATCCCTGCCCATGGCAGGAGTGTTGGAACTAGATGATCTTAAGGTCCTTCCCAACCCTGAGTGCTCTATGATTCTATGATTACAGTGGAGACAAAGACTAGTTTACCTTTATTGCTAATCCAGCTGGAGTTAGCTGCTCAATGTTTCGTTCATTCAAACAGTCTTCACCCATCAAAGAAGTGAGATGCTGCAGGCATTCTGCATGTCCCCTTGATGCTGCTACATGTAACAGGTTGTTGTCACACTCATCATGGATCTTATCCAGATTATCTGCAGCTAAATGTGGCTATTAAGAAAAGCATTATGTTAGTTACAGCCTCACATCCCAAGACACAAGCCAAACACAAAGATGTTTCCTCACAGGAATGTTCTTTTATAACTCAAAATCAGAAGCTTTTCACCTCACTGTATGCAAACTGGCTACTATTAACAGAAGGACAGAGATGGGGTTTGAATTGGCTTGATTCACTTGTAGTTTCTCTTTTTCATGCAACTGTCATACAATTGTCAGTGCAAGATCTTAAGTAGCTTTAAGTCTTTGTACTAGTTTGATCAATTAAGTACCTGTGAAAATACCTACATTTTCATAATTTCTGTCCATTTTGTGTTTGGTTTCTCTTTTTTTTTTTTTTTCCATTATATTACAGAACTACAGAATGCTTGAGTTTGGAAAAGATCACCAGGGGTCATCTTGACACCTGCTCAAGCAGGGTCGCTGAGGTTTATGTCCAGATTACTCATGAATATTTCCAGGGAAGAAGACTCTGCAACCTCTCTGGGCAACCTCTTCCAATGCTCAGTAACAAAGTTCTTGCTTGTATTCAGATGGAACTTCCTGTGTTTTAGTTTATACCCCTGGTCTTCCATCCTATCATGTGGCACCACTGGTAAGAGTCTGACTTAGAAAGATATTGATGAGTAATTGAACAGAAAACATCTATGACTCCTAAAAAAAAAAATTCCTGATTAATTTTGCTCATCACAAAAGTGGCAGCTTGCATTAAGCACCATCTAAAATGAAGTTAAACTGCATAATAGAACACATGTGGTACAAATGGTACCTTGTTTCCATTTAAAAAAAATGTTGGAATATTTATGTATACATACTACACATTTATGTATACATACTACACAACCATGAGCTAATACATTATTTCTTCTCAAATGTAATTTTGAGACAAAACAGTAAGACTGAGAAAATCCAGAAGGAAAACAGAAGACGGAAGATGGAGTTAAGAAGTAGAAGTAAGTTCCTAGAGGTGTGCAGACTTGCAAGAGTATAGTTAAGTTAGTCTATTTCATGCAAAATTTTCGAACTGTTTGGGAATAATATGCATTTTCTTACTACCTATCTGCCTATGGTGACTTCTTTTTCCTCTCTCTGCTCCTATTTCAGAGTGAATTTAATTTGCTTCTATTTCTTACTGAGCAGTCTAATATTGTCTTGTGCCTCAGTATAGTCTTTGAATATCTGCTTTTGTTCTTGCTGCTACGTTAACAGCATGCCTCTGTGCTTGAGCTAGACTGGTAAACAGAGAAGCTAAACAAAAATCTAACAAAACCAGTTCTTATACATACACTGTGCCTTCACCAGCTGCCCTGAGTAGAAATCCCATTCTCTGAATCACTGTGCTCACTTAAATCTAGTTACTTTGGAAACCATCATTGATAGTGTCTGATCACCGTGCTCAAATTTACTAAAAAATTTCATATGGGTCAGAGGCCAATGAGGCTTCAGAGAAAGCTCCTGCCTGTGAATGCTGCAGCAACAAGACAGCATGAAAACTCCTGAATAATAATCAGAATACAACAGAGGCCCCTCTGTTTCCATCATCAGTCTCTAAATAACTGAGGTAAATCAGCAATAATTATACAAAGCGACCCACAAATGTTGTAAAAGGATGAAGATTTAAATTCAATATTTAAGTGAATCAACAGGTAAAACTCATGCCTTCTATAACACTTCAGTGTACTACATACACTAGCAATCTTGGTAGTCTTTACATAAAACTAGTATCTTTGTTTTGTTACATATTTGATTTAAAGACTAAAACTTTCCATTTGGAAGCCCATATGCTCAATTATGAGGAAGCGCACAAGATAAAAAAGGCAGAATTTCAAAATATGTGCTTCATCAGCTTTGCCGGCTTAATAAACCCCATAACCTTTATTCTTCTTGTTTCATGAAAAAGATGATACTTACCAGTAAAGATATTTGGCCTTCCTTTACAATATTTAAGATGCTCTTAATTTTTTTTCCCTCTTCGCTCCTCTCTTCTGGGCCCCCTACACTGTTCCAGTTCATACTCAGTTCCTCTAGCTGCTTGTTTTCTGCCACTGCTGTCTGCAGGTGGAAAGTCCTCAGATGGCAGTTTGGCATAGTCTTCTCAGTTTTGTGAGCATGAGGATCAACAAATGTCCTGCTGAGGAAGCCCTTACCCTGGGCTTCGGATTCATGGACTGAGCTACACTTCACTAAAGGCTGGGAAAGCTCTAATTCTTCTGTTAAATGCTTGTGCTGATCAAGGACAATAGGCTGTGTTTTTCTCAGCTGAGAGCCTTTCACAGGAGACAGCACATAGAACTGCATGCTATTAGCAGGCGAGCTCTCTGTGTTCCCTGCAGAGCAGGTCTTGCTGCTAAGACCATTCACTGTTGAACACACACCCAAAAGTTTTTTCTCAGGAACTACCTTTGTAAAAGGAACAAGTTGCTGGCTTGATTTAATATAAGGCACATCCAAAATTTCATCCATATCCAGGTCATAGTGCTCCAGCTCCCCAAGCATAACAGCAGGCTCAATGTTTTTGCTTTTAAGGCTCTCTTCTTCTTCTGGACTCTGGTCATCATTTGGAGAGGCAGACTGAGAATCACTACCTTTCTGGTATTCTCCCTTCTGATTCTTGCAGTCATCACTTTCATTGTTCTCAGAGCTTTCTGGCTGATGCTTTAATGGGGAAACCCTCTTCACTGGTCTGAATTTATTGCACACATCTGCAATTCCTGATGGTTTTTGTGCATTTCCAATAAGAGTTGAGACTCCACAGTTCCAGCTGCTGCTGGAAACTAGAGAAATTGAAGAATGTGATTTAGAAGTAATTACTACCAGACAGGTGACATGATACAGCATGCTTTAAAGATATACTTGGCCAAACACTGGAAACAAGAATTTAATGATGAAATGCCACATTCATATCTAAGCAGCTTTAACAGCATCTCTATCAAAACAAATGAAGAATTTGAGACTCCAGAGAAGAAACTTTCTTCAAACAGGACATGCATTGTAATCAATTACAAATAAAGTAGTTCTAATCATGTAATGGTCATCAATAAGAGCTTAGTGGTGTTTACAGTGGTCCTGTCCACTGGAGAATGGTCAGAAGGAATCTTATCTTTAAATGTAATTACATGATGGGAAGCAGGGAAGAAGGGGGAGTGAGACTCTTCTCCACAATGCCCACTGACAAGAGAAGAGACAATGGGCTCAAAGTGAAACCCACAAAAATCCATCCTGAACACAAGAAAATGTTTTTTTTTACTGTGAGGCTGGTCAAACACTAGCACAAGTTACGCAGAGAAATTCATACAGAGTTTCCATTTGCGGAGATACTCAAAATCCAACTGGACAGTCCTAAACTTAACCTGCTCCAGCTGACTCTGCTTAAGGAAGGCTTTTGAACTACCTAATCTCAAGCAGTCTGCCAATCTAAACGATTCTGTGAGTCTCTGATCTGAAAATTAACCCTACTTATTCAGGCATGATGCTTCCTTTTCCATTTCTCTCTATGCTGGCCTTCTCTGCCAAGCTTTCCATCTCTTATATATATAACCTGTACACACATACGCACTCCCCACACACATACATAGCTCTGGGTATTCCAGACCATTATTTCAGTGCACTGCAGGACCTGGAGTTTGACCAATGAATATGATTTGCAGATGAGAAAGGGAGCTTAAGACACCTGAACTCTTAATCCTACTGAACCTGAACTTAATCCTACAGAACTTGCACTCTTTCACACAGACCCAGAACTCTGACAGAGTTTTCCTTATTTTGTCTTTTTTTTTGGTTGAGGGACAGCACTAAAACCACTAAAGCCTTTAGGCAGTTTCTATGCCCTTTCAAGGTACACTAAGAGTTAATGCATTCTAAAAGTCAAGAATACTGTTTAAACAAAGCAGATTTATTACATGCGCTAACTGCATATCAGTGGGATCTAATTTGTGGTCAAAACACACAATTTGCCATGAACACCTTCCTAAGGAAACATATATACACTTTCAGTGCAACATTAATGTCTGAAGTAAAGGATTAGTATGGCTTAGTAGTTACAGATGTCTGAAAATTACCTTAATGCTTTTGGAAGCACTTAAGAATACATTTCCGAAGAAGAAATAAAAATAAAAATAATTAAAAGGCATGTAAGTTAGTGGGCCAATACAAAGAACACACTGTACTGACCTATTCATGTATTGTATAAGATTCTAGGTTCAAAGGCCTACACTTTTATGTTGGTTTTATTTACATGTGAAATTTTTTCCAAGTGATACAGGGAAATGGATACCACATGTTTCCCAGCTGTTTTGCTCTGACAGGAACTATTAAGCACTCAGTATGGAAATGAATTCTGTCTGAGTTTTATGAAAACACTGCTTTCAACACAGGGGTCTAGACAGAGGAAAAGGCATCAACATTTTGTTTGTTGTCACTTTATTTAGGCTTACATTTATTTTGTTGCTTGGCTTTCTCCACTTTCTAACCTTAATAACACATATTTACATAAATCACTGATGACAAAATTGTAAAATTGGATACTGTGAAGAAGGAATGGCATTTGTTACAAATCTGTCTTGGATCATTGTGAAGTCATGTATTTCTCTTTTCTTTCATTACAGTTAGAGCACAGTAAGGTACTTCCACATTTTTCGCTGTTTTTGTTCCCAACTCCCCTTTACAAACATTGTTTTTCCAGAAAACAAACTAGAATACAGAGAATGGTTAGCAATATTTTTACTGACTTAAAAGACATATTCTTCACTTAACTGGGGTGACGAATTTACACTGCATCTAATAAATTATTAGAATATGGCATTTAACCACACAGCAGTAGGGAAGAAAGCAAGTTAGACTGGTAGACACAATCCTTCTTTGTGCTGTTTTCTACTTGGTTGCTGTACAGGCTGCATCAGTGCTTAAGCAATAACAAAATGGTTGCTGCCTAGAGAGCATTGAAATCATAGCCCAGACTGGATAAAGGCATGACTTGAATCTCTTCTACTCTCTTTTCAGATGCTTGTTTCCTGAAGAAGCAAATCAAGTGCTGCCTATGCAACAAAGCACCAGCACAGCAGGAGTCATGTGAGCAGCTGCTCCACAGGAAAAACCTCTTGCTCATCTCGCCATACTTACGAACTTGGGCAGAGGCCATTAAACATCTGGGTCAAACAAGTGCTGTTTTGATTCTTTTACAAACAACAGTAAAGGATTGTCTTAGTTTAAGGAAGGTAACTAGAATGCAGAGCAGCTATCCTAATTCCAGAGTCTGACAAATAACTCTGTTATAATCTTGGATAAGCCACATCTTTTCTGTGTAGTGATATCTCAAATGCAAAAAAATGATGACAATGTTTTTTGCCAACTAGGGTGTCAAAATTATGTGTTTAACTTTTATTCACTAATATGGAGATTTGGACAGTGACATTGAAGTAAAATGAGAGAGGAACATAAAAACTTGAGAGACTTCATTCGTATCAGTAAAGAAGGATTGTGCTGCTTGATAGACCAGAGGTGCTAAACCATTTCCTTTGAACAAAAGAAAATAGTATCTGATGAAAACCTGTGTCAAATTTGAAAAGGTTGTTCTTCACCATAAATTGTGATCTATGCTCTCCTTGAAGATGAGAAAAGGCAAAAGGTGAATAAAGAGGCCTGAATGATTGTTTTTAGTTTTTGTATTTGTTTATTTATTTACAGGTGTCTCCTAAAACTACTGGGGGTTAATAATAAGAAAAGGGCACAATCAGGGAGTAACTTCTCTTGCAATTTATCCACTTCATTAGATTTTATTTTAGGAATCCATCTTTACCTTGAAGTTTCTAAAAAAAAAAATAAAATCCTTATGTTTCCAATTGGAAGCATCTGTTGACTTCAGAGCATTTTTCAACATCATCTCTGTATCTAGGGCAGAGGGAAGCAAGAGGGGGAATTGTATCTCTTACATAAGCATCTGTAGAATTATAGGGTAACTATATGAGTTTTGTCCAACCACAAGACTACCTCACGCACAGATGAAACTTTACCCTTGTGACAGGCAGTTTCTGTGATACTTAAAACCTAATGCCAAACACCAGAATACCTTTAAATTGTCCTGAGTATAACGAAAATAACAAAAAATTCAGCTTTTACTTTAGCTTTATAAGGAAACTACCATTGAAATTCATTGCTCGTGTGCATACAAGAGCCTATCTCCCTGGCATATGGGTACAGTAACATTCTTTAAATGATGATGTTTTCATGAAGTTTACAGCACTGGTAACACAAATAGGAGGTGGCAAAAGGCTGCATATCACACATCACTATCATTACAAAATGAACTGAACATACTGCAGAGTGGTATTTGTAGATGTTGCTATGCCAAATCTTCATGAACCCAGAATGGCTCACGTTCAAAGAGCACTGACTGCCTGAGGAAATGGTCAAACTCGTAACAGTGTATTTCTATCGCCATCACTACAGACTCATTTAGGTTTATGCTTTGACAAGTGTTTTGTAATGACAAATGTTGCTGTTGAACAGCTGGGACATACAACAGGCAGTGGTGTTGGCAAGCAGGAAACTGGATGTAAAGATCTGAGTCATTGGCAGATAAACTGGCAGGTAAGTCCATGTTGCTTTACTACATCACTTTACACCCTACACACCAGTTTAACAGGAATGAAAAACAGCATCAATTCACTCCTGTTCTTCCATAGGGGGCAACCAGTGATCCCCATTACTATGCTACATCCCTCAATGAACCTCTTGAGCCTTTTCAGCTTGCTGCCTCTGTTCCTTCTCAGGATGGTCCAGAGCAGTATCTTATAGTAAACTGCACTGAAAGACTGTCCAGGGGAAAAACTATATGCTTTCCTTTTATCCAAACATTCATCAGTCATCAATGACACCTAATGGCCTGACCTGCATCCAGGCTGTGCTATCTCTAAACTCTCTGCATTTCAAACTTTTTTTTCATACTTGTGCAATCAATAACCATGGTAAAACTGAATAATGGAGAACACTGCACTACATGAGCTCTTGTAAGCCCACAGGCTATGATAAGACTACCTACTGATGTGATGAGTTCATCATGCCTAATAGATTTTTCAATATTCCATGAACCTCTGTGGTTGAATCACAGTTATATGGATGAGAGATGAGCAGGAGCAGCCAACAAAGCTTTACCAAAGGAAAATCATGCCTGACTAATCTTAGTGACCTTCTATGTTAGAGCAACTGCATTAGTGGACAAGAAAAGAGCTACTGATGTAAACTATCAGCTTCTGTAAGGCATTTGACACAGTCCCCAACAACATTCTTACCCCTGATGTGAAGAGATAGGTTTGATGGATAGCCACGCCCAAAAGAGTTGCAGTCAACATCTCAATGTCCAAATGGAGATTAATAACAACTGGTGTTCCTCACTTGTTGTGTCAGGGGTTGTGTTGGGACTGGTACTGCTCAATGACTTTATTAATGACATTGACAGCATGACTGAGTGCATCCTAAGCAAATCTGCAGAAGACACCAAGTTGAGTGGTGCAGCTGGTCTGCTTGAGGAAAAGGATCCAGAGGGACCCTGTGCAGGCTTGAGGACTGGGCCTGTGTGAACCTTATGAAGTTCAACAAAGCCAAGTGCAAGGTCTTGTACCGTTACAATGAGGGTGATGTGACAACGGAACAACACATTGCTCAGAGAAGCTGTAGCTGTCCCATCCCTGGCAGTGGTCAAGGCCAGGCGGGATGGGGCTTGAAGCAACATGGTCTAGTGAAAGATGTCCTTGCCCATGGAAAGGGGGGTTGAACTAGATGATCTTTGAAAGTCCGTTCCAATGCAAACCATTCTCGGATTCTACAATTATATAAATGAGAACAAACTCTGCTAGGTTGACTCCGTTGCTGCAAAGGCCAAATGCATTCAAATGATTTTCTTTTACCTAAAACTCTTCCTCCTTGCTTTAAAAATTCACTTGTGGAGTTTTCTTCACTTTCCATCATCATCATTAAGGAAGCTTGCAATTTTCATTGACAACTACCTATACATTTTTTTAAATGCAGTATTTGACTGTATTGCTCACGTACTAGATAATCATTTAGGGGCCTGAAAAGTTTCACATTCAGAGTGTTACTGTCCTGTGAAAGAAATGCTTGAGCTTCTTCCCTGTGATATGACTTCAGCACAGACTCTTGAATCAATTAAGACTTGTACTCATTCCAGGTCCATTTAGAGCACTGTGATTCTGACTTTGTATATGGACACTGAGCTGTTGTCTACACTAGGGAAACTTTTAGAAAATTCATCACAGCTATTAACATAAATTTATCCCCAACACTGGCAGCAATACTGGGGCTTCAAGCGATGGAGGAAGGGATGTGCCTTTCATATAAAAGCATAATCAAAACCAGTTCTGAATATCTATTTACTATTAATATCACTGAAATAATATTTAACCATTTTAACTGAAGGTGGCACTGTTTTACAGTTTTAATATAGGAATAACTTCCAGAAAAATTTTAGGTTCTTCAATGTAAGCTCTGTTGCATAAGAATTAAAGAACCCTGCACAGGTAAGAACAAAGAAGGTTTACTCCCATTTAAGTAGAATTAGAAGCTACTCTAAAGAAGAAAGAAAGGATAAACAAGGTAAATAATAATTCATCTTTTTAAGTAACAGTGCACTTTCCAGGAAATTCAAACATTAATACAAGACTCAGTGAACTAATTATTTTTTTTTACCTAGGGATGAGGAAGAACAATACAAAAGCTGTCATTTCTAAGGTAGAGAATGTAGAAGAGGAAAAGAAAATATCAAAATAAATAAATTGTGTGTCCCATTGTCCAGACTGATCTAATGATGTGAAAGGGAAGTACTAAGTTAAGTTCTACTGAAAAATCAGAAGAGGTCATTCTGGCACAAAATGTGCAAAACAGGAAGAGGCAGGATGCAAAAATAAGGTAGAAGAGGAGCTTATATACAAGCATCACAAGTGTCACTGCGATGATACTAATTGTTGGTTTTTTTCTAAGAAAATTCTTCAGTATTCAATCAATAAATACCGCACTGTTTCAGACATATTTACCTGTGAGGTATTTGGAGCACAACAGTGAAATTTATGCCATTTAACACTGCCTCCAGACCAAATTTTGCCTTAATTTTTCTTATAGCTAAAAAACTAAAAAGAACTTTAGACAGAAAGTGTGTTCAATTTCATATTCACTGATTTATTTCTTTTTCTCAAACAGGAAACAAATTTGAACAATTCTGTGAATGACAGCTATTTTGGGAATGAATATAGTGCAGAAGGATAACTGCTGGAGATTAAAAATGAACTTCCTTCCTTTTACCAACCTTTGAATAAAGATTTAGAATAGGATGTTGTCCTCATTTGAGACATACATTTAATGACAACCAAAAGTCATCATAGGTCACAGAATATACTTCAACAGCTATATGGCTCAGTGAAGCTTTTTGAACACAGATGTCTTGCACCATTTGCTCATGGGGCCTTATAAAATCTGCCCAGAAAGAAAGCAACCAATTTCATGCTTAATAACAAAAGCATAAAGGACCGATTTCTGTTTCAGTTCATCATTCTACATTAGTTAATGCTGGAAATTAATGGACAGGCTGGCTAACACTTCATTTCAGAAAAATTACTTAGATCTATTTTTAAACTACACTCTAATTTTCTATCTTTGAAGATGAACAATGCTGACCTTAGTGGTTAATACACTAGCTAAGAAGATAATTCTTTTGAAGCATGATGGTAGAGAGAACAACTACCCCTAATCACGCTTTATTGTGTGTAAACCAGGATGTGCCCTGTAGCTTTTCTCCAATTTCATGTATTTTTTACCTTGTCATCTGGGGCTACTTTGGCTCCAACGGTCCCTTAGAATTTTCCTGAGTCAGAATTCCCTAAATCCAAGGAAGAACGCAAAGGAGTCAGGACTGAGATTGTAATGACTGCATGACTTCCATACACATCTTGCAAAGGGTGAGGAAGGAACCACATGACCTTCCCACTGGTACAGATCACTGGCCAGTGCTGTCCAATATAGGGAAGTGACAGTGCAAATTTAGGCAGGAAAACCTAAAAATGCACCATCCCTGGCAGCGTTCAAGGCCAGGCTGGATGGAGTCTTGGGCGACATGGTCTAGTGTGAAGTATCCCTGTCCATGGGAGGGGGGTTGAAACTAGATGATCTTAAGGCTCTTCCAACCCTATTCTATAATTCTATGATTCTGTGAATATGGAGGGAAGGGTGGTGGAGGACAGGGGGAAGACTGCAGTAGAATGAAACATGAAATGGTAGAATGAGACGAGGGACTGTAGTGATGATAGGGTTAAAACTTAGGCAGGGGAAGTTTAGATTAGATATAAGTAAGAAGTTCTTTACTGTGAGGGTGGTGAGGCACTGGAACAGGTTTCCCAAAGAAGTGGTAAATGCTCCATCCCTGGTGGTGTTGAAGGCTAGGCTGGACAGAGCCTTGGGTGACATGGTTTAGTGTGAGGTGTCCCTGCCCACGGCAGGGGGGTTGGAACTAGATGATATTAAGGTCCTTTCCAACCCTAACTATTCTATGATTCTGATTCTAAATTGAGAGGGGTGAATCAGGGGTCCTCTCCCTTTCTGCTTCTTCCTTGCATCCGCCTGCAGCAGGTAATACTGCACGTGCTATCACTGCTGTGCCATAAGTGGGCAGTAACATGGCAAACAGGTATGTTAAAGGGAGCTTTGCTTCTTTTTATTGCCAAAGGCAGTGGCACACAGTTGTGATGACCTGGCCTTTAATGACTCTGTAGAAGAAGTAGCTCCCAGAAGCTTTTGACTTAGTTACACACCTTGGCATTTAGAACTCTCTGAAAGGAAATAGAGAAATAAAAGTTCCCAAAGTATATCACAGGTCTTAAAGCTTTCTACCATCCCATAAATTCCAGGTCTTGCATTTCTGTTATAAAAGTGTTTGATGAAACAACATTAATGGAAGATCAATTAAAACATCAGAAAACGTAATAAACTTTTCATAGCTCAACAAAAATGCTCCTCTCACCAATTCATTTCCGCTCCATCAAAAAGAGAAAAACAAAAGCGGACTAATCTGATTTAAAGAGTGAAAACCAACACTAAATGCACTTTTTGTCGGGGGAGGGGGGAGGTCTCCAGCTGGTTCTCATATATATGCCATGATTCTTCATTTAGTTTACACTATTAAACTAAAAAACTCAGCTTTAATCTTAACTATTACAGTGTGCCTTAGAGTAGATTCTATCATGTAGCATCCTTGATACAGTTTCAGACTCTGGCAAAACATCATCCCTCAAACTGGTCATGGCCATATGGGTAGTAAATGTATCCAACATTTTTTCATTGGCGCCTACATTATTACATCTTGTCACCAATGGTTTCTCGGGTTTTCAAGTAAATTGTTGCATATACTGTGGTTTGGAGCTGCTGAGATGAAGCCCTACATTTATCTGTATACAGCCAAATCCTTTTTTGGAACTTTTTTTCCTTCTAATGAACTAACATCTGTTGCGGGGGGGGGGGGTGAGGAAAAAAAAAAAGTCATGTTTCCAGAAAGCTGTACAAAAATGAGAGAAAACAAAACAACAGAACACTGCCAAGAAGCTATTATTGCCAACTAGTACACGATACAAAGCAGCCTAGAAAACTATGTGTGGACAGAAGTGGGCATCATACCTGATCTGTCTTCATTTTGTGAATCACACCTTCTACACAATTCTGGAATGGTCTTGAGAGAAGTTACAGAATACTGTAAAAAAGGCAAAAATGCATATGAAGTAATTAATTAAAAAAGATAAAAAAGTAATGTTGTGCTCACAGCCTACATCTACCAACCCAGGGGTACTTCCAACAGACTGATGGTCTTCTCAGGCTGTGCAAGAAAAGTGGATGACATCTGCTTTTGTGACCCACTTTGAGGGATGTCAAACAGACTCACAAAGCTACAGCAAATTGTCTCCCCACCTCAATCTTCTCCTTCCTGTTGATCACCATGATTCAAATCACAAACACATTTTATATCTCCATCCTTTCCATGGGATGCAAGATACCGTGAAGGTGAGAATAGATCTAGACTTCATAGTAAATGTCAAGCTTTCCCAAATCAATATGTAGAAATAATGCAGGATATTTGCATTATATTTAGACAATATTTTGTATTTGTAGAGATCTGATTTCAGAGGGGTATCCATGTACATACACATATTAGATGACAGGCTCATTTCTCTAACCTAGGCTTTATTAAAACACACTTGCATTATTACTTTGATGTGACAGGATATGCCTGATATTAATCAGTATATTATTCTCTGAATAAAAAGGAAAAAAAATGGGGATGATGTATGTATCTTACTAAAGAGAAATCTTTTTCTTATAAACTTGTGGAATATTCTTGGTAAGACACATGATTCAGCGTTATAAAGCTACATATTCTGACATACAGAAATTAAGCTACTTAATAGTAAGCCTTCCTTAATCAAATGCTTAAATGTTACAGGAATCTTTACTTAAACAAATGAAAATCATTATGCCTGTGAAAGATCAATGGCTTTGCTCATATTCAAAAAAACCCTATTAAAACCAGTATTTTGGAAACTAAAACACAAAACTGCATTTAGGGTTAGCACAACTGAAAATTTTTAAGGAATATATAAACACCATATGTTTTCAAAGAAACAGATATTTTTAGCTGGTATGCTATTGATCAACGAAGCAAAACAACTACGTAGAAAACCACATAAGCTTTCCATACAAAAAATAAATGGTCATGCATTTTCCTGCTTTTTGCTGACAGTTCGTCATTCTGAGTTTGATGTGCTTCTGATCACAATTGGCAATCTACTTCAAAACAAGCTGAAGTTAACCTCCTGTGACCAACTGCAGAAGTAATTTACTTCTCCAGCACAAGTTTAAGACTGTTGCTCAATCAATTGTAGTTACTTTATTAAGCCTCAAAAACCTCCCACTTTTTCCCTTGTTGGCTTGCTTCAGGGATGTATTGAGAAAGCTTAACTACAACAAGAATCTTTCATAAGTATTCCCAGGATCAATACTAAACTTATTGATTAAAATGGGTAGCGGCACACCACAGAACTATCCACTGATTCCAATCCCATTAAATAACAGGTAGTCTACTAAGGCTGTGGCTGCAGGATGTGACAGCCTAAAACAACAAAAAGCACGAGAACAAAGACAGTGAGAAAGATGCTACGAAATACAAATTAATATGAGTTAAACGTACACATGCACAAACACCATGTGCTGCGCTTCACTTTGGTTATTGTTTAATAATGATTGAGCTTTAAGCTATACATCTTGCTATTTCAGCACAAAGACTCAGAAGGCAATGTTGAGCTAGTCTAGTAAGATTCTTAAGAGAATCCAAGGAACATGTCTCCAAGGAATATGGTAGCTTCATAAGACCAGCTGGTGCAGTTTAAACTATTACACAGTTTGTAATTCAATTAGAATGAGGCCTTTTGTATTCCACTGCTATGTGTTTTGTCAGGCAACCTCAAAAAACAGAAAACCATTTTTCTTTTTGTCTTTTTTGCTATTCTTTCCTGGAAGAACAGATTTTCTTTCTGTTTCGACACTGCACTAAAATGTATCCAGTTACCACCTCTGACCACCAAAAATCTATTAAATGTTATAAATTTCATTATGCATTTTAATCATATTGGTTTGATTTCATTAACAGACTTCCTCCCACTCACCTCCGTCAGTCGGTGCATTTACAATTCTGCCATCTGTGTTTTGTGGTCAAGATGTGGAGAACTGGCTTTTGATCCAGGAAGCAACTAAAATTGCTCTTTAAAGTGGACTTCTCCCAACCATAAGCACAATCCATTGCCAGCTCTTCCCTCTAGAACTACTTTCTCTCACACGCTTATCTCCAGCTCTGATAATTAGTAACATTTGTTAGCTTTTCTTCAACAAAAAATTTTAAGGTTATCAGAGGTATTGCAAAGGGATTGAGATTGCAACCCTTCCCTGGAACAGAATTTTAGAACTAATGCTTATTCAGTGGCATTTAAAATAGATTATTTCCCACTCTTCATTTATTAATTTTGAACTACTCTACATACAAAAATAAATGCAATTTCTTACATTTCACCATTAGAATAACCAAATCAACCAGAGCCAAGGGCCATGCCCAAAGGCATGACAATGTGAGAGCTAGGCACATGAGGTCGCTTCCATAGTCAATGCTTACTGTGATCTTTTGTATTTAATCAAAGCGTGTTGTGGTTGATGGCTAAATTCAGTAACAAAATTAAAAGCTTCTTCCCTGGCTTCTTCCCAGGATAATGAATGTTAAAGGTTTGAGGTTTTTTTCTATGTCCAACCTGAAATAGTGAATTTCAGTAAACCCCTTAAGGTCCTTGTAACATGGAAGAACAGGATCAACAGCAAGCAAGAAATAAAAAACAGCAGTAAGTATTCTATGCAAATGCAAGATATTCCCAATTTTCTTTAACTGTGTGTTGCTTGTACAACTGTAAAAGCCTGTGGAGTGACCCAGCTCCTTCCACTGCCAAGGAAGGATGACAGCAGGCTCAGGAGGTGCCCTGTGCCGAGTAAATGGAAGGCCAGATCATCAGCCATACTCCTGACCATACATAGTTCATACCTGCCCTGTGAGACAAAGGTTGACATGAAGAAGTTTTCAAGCTGTTTCAAAATACTTAAAAAAATCAGTAGCTGCTTAATTATGTTTGAATTAACTTACTGCACTCACATTTCACAAGCTTTCAGATCAGGCCCACTCCTCCACTGGCACCACTGAGCCAGGCTTTTATTCATGCAGAACTATTTGAATGATCAGAACAATAATATACACACTCAACCCCAAACAGTTTATAAATAACTAGCACCAGGAGCTCTGATTATGACCAGGGCATTTGGCATTATTTCAGTAAACGAAGAAATAAAATAGTTTAAATTTGCAAAACCTGCCAATAGAATTTTAATTAAAGGATTAGGAAACCTTCAGGTAACCTTAACAATAGCCTACAACTTATAGGCAGGAATAAATTTAAGAGGAAAAGCAGGACGTTTTAAACTTTTAGTATTGTATCTACCATTTAACGCAACTTATATGTTGCAATTTTTTTCTTCCTTTCTGTGAGTAGTTATTCATGAAGAAATAAATGAAAATATACAGCTTGGTTGCTTAATGTCATTGCTTCATTGCAGACAGAATGTTATTTTTGTTTAATGTAAACAGGAGTCCCAGAAACCTATTCTGATGTGTCAACCACAGTCAAATATACTGTGGATATTGGCAGAGTACCATCTTAATTTGCAAATAAGCATCTCATTTGCATTTCAGGGCCCTGAGGGAATTGGTAGGGGTGGTTGCTGAGCCATTCTCAATCATATATTGAAAAGTCATGGCAGTGAGGTCAAGTGTCCAGTGGCTGGAGAAAAGTAAGTATCACATCAATTTTTAACAAGGGTAAAGAGGAGGACCTGGGAACTACAAACCAGTCATCCTTACCTCAGTGCCCAGTCAGACCATGACAAATGATTGAGACAGCCAACATGGCTTCACAAATGGCAAATCGTTCCTGACAAATCTTGTGATCATATGATGGAGTGACAACAGCTACAGATGTCATCTACCTCAACTTCCATAAGGCCTTTCACATGGCTCTACACAACATCCTTGCCTCTAATTTGGAGAGGTATGGGATTGATGGATGGATGGTTAGAGGGATAAGAAATTGGCCATGCCCAATGAGCTACAGTCAACACCTTAATCTCCAAGAGGAAACCAGTAAGCGTGGTGTCCCTTTAGGATGCATACTGCAACCAATACTATTTAATATCTTGATCAATGACACAGTGGGATTGAACGCACCCTCAGAAAGTTTTCATGTAACACAAAGATGGGTGGTGTGGTTGATTCACTTCAGGGAAGAGATGCCATCCAGAGGGAAATTAACAGGCTCAAGAAGCAGGCCCATGCAAATTTCATGATGTTCAACAAGGTCAAGATTCTGCTCCTGAGTCAGGGCAATCACCAGTATCAGTACAGACGGGAGGATGAAGGGATAGAGAGCAGAAAAGAGAACCTGAGGATACTGGTGGATAAAAATTTGGACATAAGCCAGCAATGTGTACCTGCAGACCAGAAAGTTAACTGTACTTGGGCTACACAGCATTCTCCCCCTTGACTCTGCTCTCGTGAGACCCCAGCTGGAGTATGGCACCCAGCTCTGGGGCCCCCAGTACAAGGAAGACACAAACCTGTTGGACCGGGTCAAGAGGAGGGCCATGAAAATGGTCAAAAGGATGGAACACCTCTCTGCATCTATAATACTGGGGAAATGTACAGTTTCATTTTCTAATGCACAAATGCATTAGACATTTGAAACAAAAAAAAAAGTAACAAGCCCATTTACATATTTATTTTCCTTTTCAAACAATTTCCTTCTATTTTTTATGTTATTTTGGTTGGAAGGTTCTACAAGCGTCTGGACTATAAACAATGACTTTCTAATTCAGGTACATTTATAAGTGCATCTTTTTAACAGCCTTCTTGCTGCCATTATTTTTAGTCAATACTGTTCTGCACTGGAGTAGAACCAGACGGCTAACAGGAACAATATAAATTGCTAATATTGATGCTATGCAGCTGCTTCTTCCACATCAGGCTAATGATAAAATGTGAAGGTCAGGTATCTCTAAATTGTATGTGGTGAGATATGAGTAGAGCACTAGCACAACCAGGAATTCTCTTGTTAATCTGGATTTTTGCAACAAATCCTTTGCTCTCCTACCTGCTAAAGCAAGGAGTAAAACTGCTACCTCTATAATTTCTGCTGGTTTTTCATTCAAGGTTCAGTGTCCAGTGAAAGAACAGCCTATTAAAGCAGGCAGCCTGAGCTGTTCAGCGGAAAAATGAGTAACCTAACCCACCAGTATGCAGCAACAGCCACAATGGGAGAGACATGGAGAGGTTACATCTATTACGTTTTACAGTTTTACAAAACTGAGTATAGAAACAGATAGCAGGACATGATCTAGCATATAGGTGCAATAAAAAGAAAGTTGCCCAGCACAAAGTATTCACTTAAGATTGGCTCATTGTCTTCTAATATTTTGGACATTTGCCATACTCCTTTTTAATAAAAATTCAACATTACAATAGGTTAAAAAAAACCAATCCTCTCCAAAAGGAATCTGTCTGTGAATAAAGCATCTGGAATCTTTTAAAATGAATCAAGAGTCCCAAATGTTAAAGGAAAAACAGGCCCTTAATTTAACTTCTTTTTTTTTTAAAAAGAAAGTATAAAATTATGAAAATGTGGAAGTGATGGAACACTTTCTTTGATCTGAAAACTGAATTAATAAATTATCTTCTAGTGGATTTAAGTTATGTATTCAAGCCCATTGTTAAATTGACATTAAAAGTATTATCAACTCTATTCTACAAAAAGGAGAAACGCTAGCAGTAGGAGCGTTATCATAATAGAATATACTGTATCAGTGCTTCCTAGAAGAACCACTAACAATGAAGGTGAACGCATTTTTGCTTGCAGTTACAGCTGCAGTTGTTTTAATTGTGACACTAAGGATCAGTGTTGTCTGTGAATCCCTGGAAGTCTTTCTGCCTCTGTCTTTACCGTATCACAGGTACATACATCACACGTGTTGATAAAATCTTGGTATATTTGGAGATGGCTACTGGAGGAAAGGGCAGAGCAACAACTGATTTGGAAAAGGAGCAATTCAGAAGTAAGAGACGCAGGAGGTTTTTTACAAGTTAAATACATTCAGTTAAAAACAAGATAAACATCATTTTGGTATCTACGGCTAGCATCAGAGTGCATATAACTCGTATGAGACAGCAGAGTAGACAAGCAACCCAGAAATATAACTCTCTTATTAATTTGATTTACAAGCAATTTTTAGTACCTGGAGGACAGGAATCAAGATTTCCTTTAAAAACCACATTATTTTATTCTAAATTAAACTTATTTAAACATTGTTATATGAGGAGTAAAAAGGAGTATGGCTTCCAATAATAGTGTAGTTTGTTATATCAGGATTGAGATATCTAAGAATACCTCAACTTGAACAAATAAAATAAGATTTGTACTTACTGATATATCATCACTAAAATCTATTTCATCCAAATCAAGGTATTCAGGGGCTTCCATTATTCTTCTATGGACATTTTGGGTGAGTCAGCATAGTAGTAAAGACCTAATTAAGAAAAAAAGAGATTGATTGTCTACTGAAGAGCCAAAAATTACACAGAAATGGTTTAATATAGTTGCTAAATTACTGAAAATGTTTAACTTGTATAGTCAAGTCTTTCATAATTTAATACTAAAAGCTAAATGCAATTTGCCATCTCTACTCTGCATACCATGAAGAAGCCTTTTTAAAATTTAAGGGAGAATAATACTTGAACCAGAAGCCAAAAATACTTGATTCAACATCACTCAGTCCTTCCATAAGTTCATTATAGGTGTAAAGACCTAAGCTGTTGAGCATCCTCATAAACCCTGCAATCATTAACCTGCTACGTTAATAATGTACCTTCCTTAAGGATGCTATTATTTTACTGGCCTGAACGCAGCAACTTCTGCAACTATAGTTCTCCTCTGCCCAAGAAAGTAGGGAAGAATTGAGAATCATGCTGTGCACAGAAAACAAAATCCTATCACACCTTATCTCCACTTACAAGCAATCAAACACATAATGCAGTCCGTGTTTTATACATGGGAGATTTATCTCTCCTCAGCCTGTGAGTGAACTTCTCCCAGAAGAGTAACCAAGGCAAAAATATAATTACATCAATGTGAACTTATTATCTGTGGCCTTAACCATTTCCTTACACGAAGGTAGAAAGAAGAGAAAATTCTTTTGCAAAGCAAGAAATCTGGGTGGAAAGGGAATACGTAATTCTGAATAAGTTGGAGCTTAAACAATCAAAAGACCAAAGACAATAAAACCCTCATTACTTTCTTACTCCTAACTAGAATGAAGGTGTGCATTATCACTACAGACAAGTACAACAGAACTGCACAAGGAAGCTGTTTTAAAGGAAGCTGAAAAATAAAATCACTGCATTTTTAAATAATGTGAGGCACTGTGTGTCAAGTGTTATTATGAAAGCAAATTAAAACCTTCTAGTATTTTTACATAACAAAAGGAAACATCTGAAGAAAAGCAAAAAATACAAGTTCAGTTTATTCATTTGACAACTGCCAAGAAATATATTCATGAATAATGAAGTCGGCTGTGTAGGTCTAAATAAAAACACTGTGTGAAATATTCATATGCAGTTAAGAATGTCCTAGGAAAAGGGAAGAAAATGATTTTCTGCAGGTGCTACTGGCAAACAAAACCTCAGTTAATGTCCTTCATAACACCGCATCCACAGAGAAAGATGATCTTAAGACACCTGTTCTTGAAAAATTATTAGAAGAAGAACCAAAAGGCAAACTTACAGTTCTAAGCTGAAAGAACAGGAAAAAGCAAATTCTTATTTCTTCTTATTTCTCAGAAAGTTACTGAAAGTAAAATATTATTCAGCATCATTTTCTTTCTAAATGAATGTGCTCCTTTTGGCTAGGATAGAGTTAATTTTCTTTATTGTAGCTTGTATGGGGTTATATTTTAGATCTGTGCTGGCAACACTGTTGATAACACTGGGACCTTTTCATTACTGATGAGCAGTGCTTACACACTGCCTTCTCAGCCCACGCCACCAGCAAGGAGGCTGCAGATGCACAAGCTGGAAGGGGACACAGGCAGGACAGCTGACACTTGACATGCTTATGAGGTGGGCTGATGCCAATCTCATGAAGTTTAACCATGCCAAGTGCAAGGTCCTACACCTGGGTTGGAGCAATCCCAGGCACAGCTACAGGTTGGGTGGAGAAGAGATTCAGAGCAGCCCTGCAGAGAAGGACTTGGCAGTGTTGGTTCATGAGAAAATGAACATGAGCCGGCAGTATGCGCTCACAGCCCAGAAAGCCAACTGTATCTTGGGCTGCATCAAAAGGAGCGTGACCAGCAGGTCAAAGGAGGTGATCCTGCCCCTCTACTCTGCTCTCATGAGACCTCAACTGGAGTATCGTGTGCAATTCTGGTGTCCTCAACATAAAAAGGACATGGAACTGCGGGAACAAGTCCAGAGGAGGGCCACGAGGATGATCAGGGAACTGTAGCACCTCCCATATGAAGATAGGCTGAGAAAGTTGAGGCTGTTCAGCCTGGAGAAGAGAAGGCTGCGTGGAGACCTCATAGCAGCCTTCCAGTATCTGAAGGGGACCTATAGGGATGCTGGGGAGGGACTCTTCATTAGGGACTGTAGTGACAGGACAAGGGGTAACGGGTTAAAACTTAAACAGGGGAAGTTTAGGTTGAATATAAGGAAGAAATTCTTTCCTGTTAGGGTGGTGAGGCACTGGAATGGGTTGCCCAGGGAGGTTGTGAATGCTCCATCCCTGGCAGTGTTCAAGACCAGGTTGGACGAGGCCTTGGGTGATACGGTTTAGTGTGAGGTGTCCCTCCCCATGGCAGGGGGGTTGGAACTAGATGATCTTAAGGTCCTTTTCAACCCTAACTATTCTATGATTCTATGACACCAACTGACCCAGGGGATATCCCACACTTTATGATGTCATGAGCAGTATATGAAGCTAGGGGAAGAAGAAGGAAGGGAGGATATTCAGAATGATGGTGTTTATCTTCCCAAGTCACTATTACACGTGATGGAGAGCTGCTGTCCTGGATATGGCTGAACACCTGCCTGCCCATGTGAAGTCCTGAATTTGCTTCACTTACTGACCCACGAATTTTCCCACTTGTACCCTTTCAATTCTCTCCCCCATTCCACTAAGGGGAAGTCAACAAGCAGCTCTAAGGGGCTTAGTTGCTGTATGGGCTTAAACAATGACAATGAGAAAGAAAAAAATGCGGTGGGGGGAGGGAAGCAGATAAAGGGAGGATGGAAAAGGGGGAAAGCATGTATTTTCTTTCATACATTAGGGTATTTGTGTTCCTTGCAAAAAGAGAAGGAACTCCTGGGGAGGAGAAACTGGGGAGGAAGGCAGCATCTAAGAACCACCTCAACTACCTGTTGCTGGCTTTTATTGAGACTGTTAGACTTCAGTCAAGCAGTGAGAAATGAGATGGATACAAAAAGATAAAAACAGTATAAAGCCCTCAGTCAGCTCAATATGAGGAAATAGAAGTAGCTAGAATGTGAAACTAGTCAGAAGCACAATTCCCAAATGCTAAATTTATTCTTAAAGGGAGCCACTAAAATCAGTCAAAATCCCTGTAATGAGAGGAACTAGCTGTTGTGAAAAGGCACGACATATTCGAGTCTACAGGTTCTTTTCCACATTAAAGATTTTGCTTTGTTAACAGAAACATAGAATTTCAGCATTTTTTTACGGTTTATGCTTTAACATGTTGCATTTGGGTGACATTAAAGCTTACTTGTGGCAAAGTGCACTGCCACTTCATTGGGTTTGTGTAGCAACTTTTGTTAACAGGGTGTTACAGGGGCAGTTTCTGTGAAAATACAGCAGAAGCTTCCCATGTCAATCCCAACTGACTCCAAGACTGTCCCAGTACTGGCCAAAGCTGAACCCACCAGTGACAGTGGTAGTGCCTCTGGAATAACACGCTATGCCTGAAGAAGGGGTAAAAACCCTTCTGCGCAACAGCAGCTGGGAGAGAAGAGTGAGAATATGTGAGAGCAACGGCCCTGCAGACAGGAGGCAGGGACGATGCTCCAGGCACTGGAGCAGAGGTTCCCCTGCAGCCCATGGTGCAACCCATGGTGAGGCAGCTGTGTCCCTGAAGCCCATGGAAGTCCATGGTGGAAAAGATTCCACCTGCAGCCCATGGAGGAGCCCACACTGGTGCAGGGGGATTCCTGAAGGAGGCTGTGATCCCAGGGGAAACCCATGCTGGAGCAGGGTCCTGGCAGGAGCTGTAGCCCTACGGAGAGAGGAGCCTGCGCTGGAGCAGGTTTGCTGCAGGACTTGTGACCTCACAGGGACCCACACTGGAGCAGTATGTTCCTGAAGGATGCACCCCTTGGAAGGGACCCACGCTGGAGCAGGGGAAGAGTGTGAGGTGGAAGGAGTGGTAGAGACGACATATAATGAGCTGAATGCAACCCCCATACCCTATCCCTCTCAGCTGCTAAGGGAAGAGGACACACAGGAGTGAAGTTGAATGGGGGAAGGGAGGGGTGCGGGGAAGGTGTTTTAGGTCTTGTGTATGTTTCTCACTATCCTGCTCTATTTCTAACTGGCAACAAATGAAAGAAATTTACCCCAAGTTAAGTCTGCTTTGCCAGTCTTGATCTCAGCTCAGGAACCTTTTAATCTTATTTTCTCCTCTTGTCCTGTTGGGCATCTGACAGTCAAGCAAAATCAACTTACCACAGAATCCCTCCACGAAGGTAAAGGCTAGCTGTCAGTTTATCACCATGACTACCAGCTCAAACCAAGTAATTAAGCCGGTTTTATGAGCAAGATAAGTGCCAACTCTGTATGTACTATCTTACAAAAATTACAGGATTGTAGAATCTACCCAGTACTATTCCATAAGGTGATACGTGTGAAGTATGAATGAGAATTAAAATATAAAAGTTTAAAGGTTAAAGACATAAATAGACTATATCACATGCAAAGAACCTAAAACCAAACTACAGCTTCACTAAGTTTCAGTTTTCCACTGGAATTAAATGGATTAAAAACCCCTCATCAGTATGTTTAAATCAATGAAAGAGATACTCTAAGAATGTCACACAACAAGCCAGAATCATGAAGTTATTTTGCAGTTAAAACTGATATATTCAAGTTAAAAAAAAAAAAAAATAAACCTGCATAGAAAACTACTATTCCTCATTACCACATATCTCAAGGTTTTAGAACAAAAAGATCTCAACCTTTCAAACTTCTTATTTAGTTCTAAATTGCAAGAAACCATTAAACAAAAAAAAAACCCAGCTGCATCCATCCATGGTTGACAAAAGGACTACATTTTAGCTAAAGGTGTACAAAACTCCTTGTGTCAGTCCACAGCCTTGCAACATTACTTCCCCAAAAATGTTACCTTCCATCATCTCAAAACATAAAGACCATGAAACACACAAAGGCTGAAGAGAAAACTGGTAACCAAAACATATTTTCTCTACGGAAAACTTATCTTTCTGAAAATAGTGTTCA